CACATATCTGCTGAGGTTGCCCAATCAGTGTCGATTGCCTATAGAGAATGTTACCTATAGAGACTTCCTAGCGTAGAGTTTTCGATCTATGTTCTGACGTTTTAAACTCTGAAGAGTGTCAGACGAAAAACTTTAGTTTATTCAAATGTTTGCTTTATTCAAAGCCATTTTATAGATAGTGTTATTAGAAGGGTGTCTTAAAAGAACAAGAGCGACTGCAGCTCTTTGTTAATATTGGGAATTAATGGTAAAAAGAGATCACTAACTGCCAAACCTGATGCAAAATTTATAACACATTTTTGTCATTGAATGCAACTTCAACACTAGAAAGGATAAAGAAACTGTCGGGTGCAGCATCAATACCCTCTGTGCTCTCTTTCTGTTAAGTTAGATTTCTTGAAGGGGCCCTCCATTTCCAAAAAGCTTGTTCGCATTATAAATTTGAAATCTGAAAGGGTTGTTGGATAGGGGGGGGATTCTGTAAAAGGCCCCCATCGTGATCATGGATGTCATTTACCTCTGGCGTTCGAAGAGCCGTACCTACCAATAAAAACAAAGATTTCTCATCGTTACGTTTTCATTACAGTCCTGAAGATATTCTATTTAGCTCTAAAAATTGAATTTGATGGCATTCGTTTTGCTAGGCCAACCCCCGAAGTGACATGAAAAGTAAATGCGATGACGGAGTTGATAATGAAGCCATTTGGATGGCGCTATGAAAAAGGAACAAATTTCAAATTACCTTTGTGTAACAAACATAACTTACTCATATTCTGATTGGCATTACAATTAAAATACAGCCATAGTTAATATGAATTGATGTTATTTGTACAATCTGGCGTCTGGGGCATGGAATTCAATTTCTTTAAATTATGTTGTGAGCTCTAAGCATGGCTTTTCTTTGCTGTGCTTCATAACCTGCGAAAGTCAAAGCTAAGTATAATCTGTGATTAAGTTCGCCTATATTCAAAGAATATACATGACTCAAATTTCCCATTTATTACTAATAAAGAATTAAAAGTAGAGTCGAACATTTTAGTTTGAAAGCCCATTGAAAATCACTGTTTCTTGCCTTTATAAGAGCGCTGACAAAGACAGTGCCGCCATTGGTGAAATCCCGCCGTTATATCCAATAACTAGAAATTGAAGCAAAATTGGTTTTTTTCAAATTGGACAAGCCCTATCTTAGCTGCACCCAGGAAATTGAGATGGAATCAAAATCTTTATGGTCTTAGCTTCATTTTTGAAAGCTTAATGAGTAATGCATTATCTATTGTGAAAATGCTGGCCCATATGGCTGCTCGAAAATTCTGGTACAAACTGAACAAGTCCAGTCAAAAAAAGTTCAACGAAAATAATAGAACCAGAAAATAAAAAGATTATTATTAACATGAATTAAATATTTACGTAAGGTCAAGTTGAAGAATTTATCTGAAATAATTGCTTTTTAAATTTCTTTGAATATCAGTTAAGACTTCTAGTTTCCTACAGTAATCTAAAAAATACTTGTAAACTCAAATTTTTGCTTCTGTTCTAATGGGAATCCATTTGAGATCTAACTGACATTTTCAAAATTTTTCGGAAATAGAAAAAAAGTTTCATCTTGAGATAGATAGATTATTGAATTTGCAGTGTTTGGAGTTATGAACATAAATGTTTGTACTAATCGTAGTCAGATAAATAACTTGCAAAGGTGTGAAAGAGGGCACAGATTCTTCTTGTGCCAACTATGGACAAAAAGAATGACGTTTTTTGCATGGTTCACAGCAAAATGGAGGATTTTTTCAGTATTCCGATACAAACCTTTATTCCTTGCTGGTACGATTTCACTGTAACTACTTCCCAATTCCCAGTCTCTTTCTAGTTGAATTGGGCAACTTGGTCCATGTTGATGAAAACAGAACCTTCTCTTCATGTAATCAATTAATATGAAGAATGTCAATATTCCCGAATCCTTGAATTGGTATAATTGATTATAAATTCGAAGTGACATAACACTCAAGGGTTCATTTTTTCTACTGTAACCGATGGTTTTCGTCGAAGGCCGCTTACTTTGACGACAAATTTCCAATAGAAATACTAAGGGACATTAGACGTTCATGTGTTAAGACTCTTCTGTCAAAATGTCCAAATCATCCCGTGGTCCGCAGTATTCTGCCACTTTGCTTTACATTAATGATATCGTGATATTACAGAGAGAAAATAGCTGGGTCTCCCAATAAAACAGAAGTATAGTGACACTGAATGGAAATGGTGAGCTTATAATCGAAGCTCTTAATGGTGAGCGGGTAATGGTGAGTTGATAATGGTGAGCGGGTATTGTGAGCTGGTAAAGGTGTGCTGGTAATTGTGAGTGGGTAATGGCACTGGACTCCAAAAGATTGTTCCGAGAAAGGCACTACTTAGGACACTTTGTTCGATGAGTTTAACTCGAAAGACAAAGTCTCGTTAAATAATGGCAGCAGTTATCTGAAGAAAAGTCGTTTTGATTTGTTTTTGAGTCGTGGTTACCAATCAAAAAGGAATGAAAACAAAAAGGTTACTCAAGGAGCTTTAAACGACGCCATTTATGTTTAAAACGCTGCAAGCATTTCACCTCCCCCTTTAGGAAAATCTGCTTGATCAATCAAATTGCTTCTGTCACGTCAAAAATATTTCTTACCAGCATGTTTTCAAGCGTATGGCACCAGATTCTAAAAGAAAACGGGTTATCATCGTCAATTTGACAGTCTTCAGACAGCTCATCTTCTTGTACACGACTCTACTTACGAATCAAATGCATACATGAAGTGTTTTATTATTACGTTGTTTAGGTTGAAGACAGGCTAACATATGTCTTCTGACTCCATTATTATGTATCGTTGCTTGTGTGCTATTATTCCCATGACGTATTGCTTTCTTCATTTGACAGTCTATCTTTCCTTTGGCGACAACACAGACGACGTTTGTGATAAAGGCAGGAAACAGTTCAAATTGAATGAGGAGGAATTATCCAGTAAGTTCGATTAACAGAGTGGATTCTTTGTTGCAACGTTGCTGTTTATGTTTCCCGCGCGGCAGAATACATTACTAAATTTTGATGGAATAATACTTACAGCATTTGAAACGCAACAGGTTAACATCCGAGGACGATTTCAATTCTAGAGATATTCCATCTAATTTGGGAATTTTCAGATCGCAGTTACTATCTAAATCCGTAAAATTTTGCCGCTCGAACGTTTTGTTTCGAAGCTTGACATTTGCGTAGGAACAGCTATATACAACATAAAAGAGACGAGTCTCATATTACAGAGTGAGGTTTATCCGTCAAAACTCTATTTACAAAACGTTCTCTAGCCCATCATTCAGGTATCCTAAAGTAAGTAGCAAAATATAAAATCTATCACAACATACAACAAAAAACTAAACAGGCAAGGGATGATTTTAGAAAATGATCATTAGCAGCTGCATCTACTCAGAATAAGGTACCCGCCGTTTTAAATTTCATATTTATCAAACTTTCAGTTTAACACTGTTCAATGAAATGGATATTGATGTCTGAATTGCAGCTCCTGTTTTCCCAACATTTCCCTCGGGCCGTAAAAAATAGCTCACTACCCGTTGCCAGTACTAAGCTGTTGGAAAGAAAGAAGGAATGGTTTGTTCTGGCTCGAGATGCGGCAATGCGCCGTAGGCTTTGACTTCTGGTCGGATCAATTCGTTTCCTATTTCTTTCTTCTGTTTTGAAGACTTCAGAGCTTGTATGAAATTAGAGCTGCATGAAAAGTCGACGTCTCTTTCTTGGTGCCATGCCTTCAGACTCTCGCAGGTACGAGCGGAAGGCAGTCTTCTTAACTTTCGCTCTCATTGAATCATGTCGGACATTTTACATAAGTTGGACTGCATACAAGTACCACCTGGACTGAAGCCTACTCTAGCACTGCGAAACTAGTAGATATTCGTAAAATGATTGGCTAGGTTGAGCAAAGTTCATGGAGAAACGCTTAACTATCTGTGCAGACCAGAGTACTATTTTGTTAGGGGAAAGATGTATTAGAAAGGATGTTTCTCAAACTGATCTTAATTACGTCACCCATGGTAGAACACTGTTGTCTTTCAGTACTGTCTTGAGTATCATAAATCAGAAGAAGCCTCGTTTACGCTTATTTCTTTGCCTTGATGCGTATCCAGCAAACAAGGCATCGCCTGTGCTTCACTTCCTCGACAATTTTGGAAACTACAAATGACATTTGAAAATGTAAATGTATCAAGTTCATTCATTGAAAGTAATATCAAAGTTTATCATAGTTGAATACAGGCCATGGGTTGCTACCTGTTATGTTCATTCACTTGATCAAAAACAAGGTCTTTTGTACTCTACAGCGTAATTTTCTTCATACGGCATTATCCTGCTGAGTCGAGTTTACACGAATGCCGTTAACGTAAATGCAGCTAAAGTTGACAAAACACGATTGATTGTTTGGCATGATCCGATTCGTTTCGCATTTTGGAACTTATCATTTGATGTTGAAAATCTATGACATGATGGGTCCTTGGGAGCATGAAGGTCCTCATTGATAAAGATTATTCAATGTGTGGTTATTCGAAATATATGGGAGTGTTTTTAATTCCTGGAGACAAAAACAAGTAACATCTTGTCTCTCAGTTGGGGAAGTTGGGGAAATGATCTAAATACTTGGCCAAAAGCTTAAGAGTTGAATTGTTGTTGATGGCAGTTGCGATTCACGATTTTGCGTCATAGGCATAATCAATGCAAACGAAGCTCACGTGGGTTCACTTAAGGAATCCTAACACAGAATATTGAATCGTTTCTGACACCCCAATCTCCACCTTTTAATCAGCCTCTTCCTGTACTTTCGTCTTAAAAATAAGCAGTGTTGCATTCGTAGAAAAAGGTCACATTTGTTCCACTGCTAACGATGGAAAATCTACTACAGCAAATACTTTTCGCTGAAAATTCATTTTTAATAGGCAGGTCTGCAAAATAATACAACGACAGATGCTCTTCGCATTCCACTTGATAATCAAAATTAGAAAATACGCTTCCAAATTATTCGAGGAAATTGGAAACAAGGTTTTGCAGTAGGACTGCCGAGGTCTTGTAAAATAAAATTAAACCAACTTAACAAAATGTTTAAATAGTAACATTAACTACTCTCTTTGGTGCATCCTGGTGCATCAGATATAGAATACACTCATTTTTTTAAAAGAAACAAAGGTCGATGTTGAGTACTCCAGTTCCTTAATGTTCTGGAAATTTCAATACTTATAGTTTCTTAAGAGTTTCTTAATTATGATGTCATGAATGATGTTATGAAATGTTCCTGACATTTTTTACCACGTCAAGAGATTCGCTTCCGTTCCGATGCTGTATTTAGAAGTGGGTAGTATGTTTTTATCCCTTGTGTCTTAAGCTCTAGGCCAACAGGGCAATCTTGTTCTTGGATTTTACAAAATTTCGTTTCTTAGTTTTTTTGCTTCGAGTACTGAAGTTTCTTAATTTTTTTCTGACTGTCCAGTACTCGTTTCTTATAGCCAGTTTCTTATAAAAAATGAGTGTACTCCCATTGAAGCATCAAATATAGACAACTAGCAATGCTGTGACATAATGGTACTTAAACAAGGAGAGTAGTGGATGGTGTGCACAGCTTAATCGTATCTTTACAGCCAAAACGCACTAGTTTCAGGTAAATTCATTTTGGCAGTAATAACGACACGGGCAGAGACTGGGGGCAATGCACGTGTGAAATAAAATAGTTTAAAAGTCCTTTAGAGGCCAAAAACATTCACAAGGTAGGCTTAATCAGAAGTATACATCATAGAAGTTACAAAAAGCATACAGCGTGTCTCTTAAAATTCTTTGCAGAAGACTGATAATATTTTACTTTCAAATATTTAGACAATTGAATACATCACTCTGCCCGAAATGAATCTATTGATTTTTAATACACAGCTATAAGAGGAACAGGACCTCCTGAAATTCAAAAGGAGCATTTATTTGGAGGAAAATGTAATTTGTTAAAGTGTTGTCACACTTATACAACTGAAGGTAGAATGGCTTGATGCCCTAATAGCTTGCTAATGAATGAAAGAACCTTTTTACTGTACGAAGTCGAATACCTTTCTAATGTTCCTTGCAGGGGGTATCCACTCAACTCTTTGGCTTACTATGGTAGAAGTGGAATGCACTATCTTCACTCCATAGCTGCTCCAGCTGTGAATCGTGGTAAGAAAACCTTGTCACAAAAGATTTGATTATTCCTCCAAAGCTCGAATCAAATTCCTCTAGCTGCACCTTATCACCTGAAATCAAAATAGACAAATTACTGAATGTGACGTCACTTCATTTTGTCCCTATCAACCTTCTAACTACTAATTTCAATATATTGGGCTAGAATTTACTTGATAAGGTAAAACATTCAGCGATTGGCTAACAAATATCGGGAATATAGGAAAGTTTTGCAGAATCTTACTTTAAGCCAACATGGTACAATAATATTTGTTTCTGCCCCTAAAACTTAAGAGTGAGTATTCGATACAATATCGGTGATCTGATATTGTTTTAAAAAGGCTAATTTGGCTTGCTACAGCCAGTTTAAAGGCTCGAATGTCTGATATGTGGGGAGCTACGTGTTACTGTGACTTACATTTTTTAACATCCATCTTATTTTTTTGAAATGTGTACCTATGTGTATATAAACATTGGACCAGGGACTAAACATTATAGTTTTCATGCTACAATGGATCTTAGTCTATAATGTCACTACTTTTAACGAGAAGAGAATCTTGCATCAACACCTTACACAGAGTTGCTAAGATGCTAATCGAGCCATTCAAACCCGTGGATTATATAAGAAAATTTCGTCCCGGGATCAGCCTAAAAATCATTGATAGAACAATACGAAGCCATACAGCCGGAAATAATATTGCAAAAGTGTATAGAAGACTCATCCTTTCGATTAACTGACATGTGCCCTGGATAAGCACATGACGCTCAAATGCGATATACATAAGCATCAGGAATGAATTCGATACACAGAACACTGATGCGCGAAACATCGGCTCAGAGCGACATGTATAGTCAGTAAGACTAGATGGCATAAGCATCATTGCAATTTAACTTATAAACATGCCTTACCTTCAATTTTTGTGTGAGCTTGTACGAACATCTTTCTAGGCTGTTTTCTGGCAACGACGATATCCCTGAATTCAAGGAAATTTCCATGTGTTGTGCTAGCAGACACTTCGGACAAGGAATCGTACAAAGCTTTCCCTTCACTGTAATTGGCCGTCGCTTTGTAGTTCTAAGCAAATAAGAATGAAATATATTCTTGCACAAAAGACAAAAAAATTGAAACCGTGTCGAGGCTTAATGAAATTTAACCGAGGTTATGATACAAAGTTAAGGCAGCCATCAAAAGTGGGAAGAATATGAAAACAGGCAGTAGTGACGTAGGAATTTTTACTAAAACGCCATCAGCCATTGACTTCATATAAACTTGATAAAAAAGCTGAGTATAGTTAAGTTATGTTCAGCTTAGTTGAGAACAATTTTGTTCAGTTCAATTTAGCTTCAAATTCCTCATCATGAAATTTAAATTCAAAGCGGAGAAAGGTCGGGTGTGGAGGGATACCAAAACAAGCAAAATGTCACAAAGAAAGGGGGGATGAAAAATAAACTTAAGTTGATAAATTAATTCTTGTAGATTGCGGCCAAAGCTAGCGATAAAAAATTGCAGAACTTTTAACTGTCATCAAATGAAGCTGTAAGCACCAGACATGTCATTTTCTTGTAACACATTTTTTAAGCTCTTGCGTTTAAACAACCGGGAGCTACGGCACGGTTGCGTTTACGATGTCGTCCTACGTGGCCAGATATGTCGGGAAAAAATGAGGGCGAATTTTTCAAGGTTAATTAAGACGAACAAAGGGACAGAATAATTTACATTGACAAGATTACGAGAATGGACGGATGTGCGAATCCGAGTATTACAATGGCGAAAATATTTTACACAGCAAAGGAACCGAAAAAATTAAAACTAAAAACAAGTGCTCCTTTTTCATAAGCACACTCTACCTTCATTAGCGAGAAGCAATCCTACTGATCACGGCTTTATGATGTTTTTATCTTTGCTTAAATAAATTCCTACCTCGAGTTTCACATCATTTTCAGTGCCAATTAGTAAAGCCTGCAAAACTCACATGAAAGCTTTTTGGTAAATATAGATGGAGGAACAACGTAATATTTTAATTTCAAACTTGATGATTCTAAGCTTTCATGAACATAGGAGCACTGCGGTTAAAAATTGTTCTCAGCCAGCATATCATCATCATCATCATAATCACCATCAGTTCATAGGCGGAACACCGATCAGCCTCTTTTCCATGTACCTGTTCACTTAAGCCTCGCAATCATGCGACTCTTTCATAATCCTTTTATGAATAAGGATAATTTAGGATTAAGGTACTTAAAGTTTTCTCTCTAGTCTATGGAGGCGGGTGTCGAATATCAATTCTCTTTGCAATAGTGATGATAATGCGGAAGATGGCTGAGAACAAACTAAATTGGAGCACAGAATCCGATACGAGTTAGGGTGTTAGCATGCTCGTGATGGGATTGTCACCTCACTGGTTCTTCAAGGAATTTAAAAAAGAGGCAGATCACAGATTTTTGTCAAGACGCTTTGTCATTTGAAGCCAACAGTGATATATGTCTTTGCTTTCACTCCCTTACAAGATGGTGACTGTGGCACACAGTCCATTTATTATGGACAATTAATAAAGAAAGTTCTATCCCTGGTTTTTTAAAAGATTTTCTAAAAGCGGATCTGTCTGGGAATTAAGCATCCATTTTTGAGATATTGAAGTTAAATAGGAAATAGCTTGTCAATTTAGAGATGACATTTAGCAACGGATTTGTCAGATTCAATATGAACTTAACAGAAGAGTGAAGTTTAATGACAGGCATTTCAGAATTGAAAATATATTGAAAAAGATCCTTCAAGATAAAGGCTTAGGATATCCATTAAAAGATACAAAAGTATGCGACAGTACGGATTCCTGTCAATTTATGAGATCATGTAAAAGCTTCTTCTAGGATAAATTTCACGATATCGTCTTGTCCTGATTCATTACATTTCTTGTTAAAGAATTTAAACTGAAGCTAAAAAACGAGACATTCTTTGGTCAAAAATCCGCAGGATGGAGCATATAATCGAATAAATGGTGTGCATTCCAAGAAAACCTGATAAATCAAATCTGGCATCTTCGAACGCCAATAAGAATGCCATTTCTTATGTTTCAGAACCATTTCGTAAATTTTTTGATCTTTATAAGGAAACTGAGCAGACTATATAGTCTATTTATTTCATAGCATACTCCTATGGTTAAGTATCAACGAAGATGTCTATATCATGCTAACATCAGTGTTATCTGGCAAGCTGAATGTAAGAAAAATGTAGATTTCGTAAATATATGATCTTTACTTGATGACAACCCCCCCCCCCCCCCCTTCCCAAGAAGCGGGAATCCAGAGGCAGACATGTCTGCATTTGAAAATACATTTACGTTATCCCGTACTTGTGCTTTGAGGAAAGTCTCGGAAATTCGTATTTTCCCTAACTCGAATCGAATATCATCAGCTAAATGAATATTTGCCCGAAGTTCACTAAAGTCTGGGATGGGAAAAATCCATAAATATGTATAAACAATTCCTATTTTTCAACATTTCAACTAGAGTCTATAATTTTTTTGTATTTGCAGGAAATCATTTCATAAAAATTCTAACAATAGATACTCTGAATATAAAAAGTTTATAGACTCTAGTTGAAATGTTGAAAAATATGAATTCTATATACATATTGATGTAATTTTCCCATCCCAGACTTTTGTGAATTTCGGTTAAAGAGAATCCATTTGATTTGGTCCACGGAATGCTGCCACTAGTTTGGTGCTGGATATGAATTTTTTATAAGGATATCATCAGTAAAATGATCTGTGATTACGTAGATCTCTTGCACTGTATATTTAAAGGCAAATGTGGGTGATTTATCATACGAGAAGCGTTCCGCGCATTAGCAAATAATCTTTGCATAGGTTCAATTTATAATCGCCTGACGGATCTGTTCGTAAGTCAGTGCGTAACCGCACCGTTTTGGTCTCGTTTTGTGCAGTGATAAAACAAAGAACCTGGAATCAAATGAACCGTCGCTGAGAGATGTGACGAAACGATTAACAATACCCACTTGACAGTTTTTCAGTGCTGAAATTAAGAACGTACAAAATAGTTTCTTTTTCGGAGGTACAAAATATCTTTATATCAAGAAACCCATTCTTTGACAATCTATGAGGAGGACGTACAGAAAGGACCGAGGAAACACAAGTTTTCGGTGGGCTGTTAGCAAAGTCTCGGTGGTCGGTTTTCTTGTCTAGTAGGATGCTAAAACTTTGCCTCTAGACAAAATACGTCTGCTGACCTTTATCTTTTTTAAGTATATTTTATGCAGATAAAGCTATTTATACCTTAAAATTGATAAAATATGTTGAGAAATAAGCACAGAAAAACTCGCGAGATAAGGATCTACCAGTCAGATACATCCAAAGAGGCTTCACAGGCATTTTGTATTCCTTGTTTTGGTTGTACCTACACATTCAAAACTACGACGGTTCGAGGCTCATAAATAATGGCAGACACATGTCTAACTACCGCAGTCACTGCTAATTTGCGGCCAAACTCACGGTAAACAACTTATTTGATATATTCCTTATAAGCTGTAGGCTCCTTTCTCGGATTTCAAACAGAGCACTGCATTGGCGTTACAAGCAAATTATGGTTTGTAAACCGCTTGGTCTCTGCTACTGGAGGAAGATCAGATTTACAGTAACTAGTATCTTTTCTAACATGGGTTTTTTGTTCAGTTGATTCATTCACCGCTGATTTAATCAACACTGCGCTAAGGCTTCAAGGATTTGATTGATTGCTAGTTGGCTGTAGGAGGCCAAGAATATTTCTGAGCGTGCAAGTATATTACGATGAGTCGGTTAACCCAAGGATACAGCACATCGCATGAAGATGAAATTGCGCCTTCATTCGAAAAGACCATATCAAAGAGAACTCCTGAATAGCAATCGCTTTTAAGCTAATACCAATTAGGGACTAAACAGCACAGCTGTGACTATTGAAGCTTATGATGACATAAAGATGAACCGACCCGATTTGAATGGAAGACGTTGATTATCAATGAACGTTTATACAAACGCAACTATAAGACAAAGTCTGAATATTCAGACAAGTGGAAGAGTAAAGTTATAAGCAAAAAAGAATGCACCAATCAATTGTGAACGTCCAGCTTCAAAAATTATCAATACGCCGAAAAACTAGACTTGGTTTTAGATTTCCTTTTTAGAAAAGTACTTGTTGAATAGCATAGTAATATGGCGATTAAGTTAGCCTAGGCGATAATGAAGAGCAAGTGATATTATTTGGTGCATAAATAGCCACATATGTGTCAAAATGTATTGATTAAGATATTTTAGACAGCAAGAGTTTAGTATATTCAGCTACGGTACTGAAGGCTGACGGCTGACTTAACCCTGGATGTAATTCACCTTTAGTACACGCAGAAAATTAGTTCCTTTAGACTGACTGGGCGACCGTGATTAAACTGCAATTATAATGAAAAGGAAAAGCCAGGCAAGGCTAAAGACAGAAAGAAATACATGGCCACCCGACCTCAGCAAGTATTGCTTTACGGGGATTGTCTACTTAAGTCGGCCTTGCCTACAGCACAAATGGTAAAAAGATCCAGTTAAACATATTTCAAAAAGCATTATAAGTAACAGATATAAATAAAGTTGCCTGAAATTTATCACTCAGCCAGAACGTGTATTGCAAGAGATATGAGTAATACGGATATCAAAGTAGATAAAAAATTCAGTAGGAAAATCCTAAGACGTTTAGCGGTTTTACCTGTACCATTAAAATTGATAATCACAGATTAAACATTGTTAGAGAAGGGAATGAACAAATACTTCAGCGATGTTTGGAACTAATTAAGTCTGTTAACGCTGCTATAATTCGTTGTCAGAATTTATGTACAGCTGTAGAAACAGTTGCTTTAATCAGCATGTCCAAACCAGTGGGCTAGTTCCTTTAATTCAGACTTTATGTCACTGCCTAAGAAGTATTCTTACTGGAAACAGGATCAAAATATGATGGGCGGGGGTAATTGTGAAAAATTCAGAAAATTAAGAAAGTGTCCTAAGGATCAAATCACGTTAGAGGGTATATTGAAATAAACTTCCTAGAGAGGAGAACCCAACCCCGGATAGCTATTGCTGGTGTTTTTGACAAATCTGGCAACAGTTAATTCAAATTCAACAGATCAATAGCAGCAAGAGGTTTTTGGATTAATATCAGTGTTGTTTGCGATCTATTTATGGGCAGTACCTGTCAAAAGGAGACTTGGGTGAAAGGGTGGCAATTCACTTCCACGGCTGCCTTTAACCTCCCTACTGTTGCCAGTGAGTTCCCATTGTCTTTATAATGGAAGGGAACTAGCTTTCGAATCATCCGTGAGCACTGCAGCCAAGCTTTCTATCAACTTACGCATTTCGCATTACAATATCGCAACTATAAAACTTTCGTGACCATGCACAGACTTTTTTTAAGCCAACCTTAAAGGCCGAAGGTAAATTATATCCAGGGCCACAGCTAAATTTCATGAAACATGCAGGTGAATCGCTGTAGAATTTAGAGGCATTGCAAGGTTATTAAAAAATAATGTTACCTGCAGTTGTCTTAAGAAGTCTCCAATGACTTGCTTTCCCACTGTCTCGATTTTCGTCCGGTCCATTGTTACCATTAAATCTGGCTTCCCATCATCACCAGTTAATTTCTTTATGCTTACAAAGCCATCGCCAGCTTTGAGAAGCACTTGCAGGATGACAAAACGGGCTTGCATATGGGCCTAAAAGTTTAAGTTAAAAATACAACAGTAATAGAGATTTCAATAATGTTGAAAATTAAAGACAACATTTCTGCTGCAAACTACCGTACTTCAGTAATTTTGCAGTACATAGAGAGTTCTTTTGATGCAAAGAAAAGAGCAAAAAATGTTTCTTTTATTTCGCACCCAGAACAATACCTTAATTGCATTTTGACGGTAGGAAGGGAGTCGAGGCCATCACATCTTCCGTGTACAACTTGAACAACAGAATTTTACAGTGTTGGCAAGATAAGAATATTGAAAAATTGAAGTAAAAATATAAAGCAAAGTAAAAATAAAAAGTCGGAAAGAATGAATAAGAGAAAAAGTAACTGAAAAAACATGATTAGTAAAGGAGGGAAGCTAAATGTAATTATTTTCTTATCCCAAAGTACTGAAAAATTTAGGTCCTTGCTAAAACCTCATAAATGGGCTGAACCATAATGGAGCCGGCAACAATAAACAAACGAAAAAACAGAAATACATGATTCAAAATACTTCTTTGCGATTGTTGGAGGTTGGAAAGGCACTTAGTATACTATGTAATCAGCATTGTGAGAACGAGGCAAGGTGATTTGCTGCCAGTATATTGAATAAATTTATTTATCTTAAGTGGATACCAATTATTGTTCATTTATATAAGCAATTGAGTGGTGCTGTCAGGGCATTCAGTTCAAGCTTGAAACTAGCCTTAGTTTAATTTATAAAGTTCTAGCACGTGTTTATTTCAGTTCTTATCCCTAATAGAATTTTCGTGTAAATATGCCAAACATTTTGCTGTCATCAACAAAAGGACCTGAATGTCAGGAGTTGCCTTTGTTCTGATATCTGCTGTCATCTGTCAATAAGCAAGCAATGTCGTCAGATTGATTCAAAACCTACATAGATAACCATTTCAAGACAAAATATTTTGGGAGTTATAATACAAACAACAAACTTCGGACGAAGTAATTATCTTCCTTAAGTTATTACATTTTGATGTGTTTATTTAATCTAAATATCTGCTATCTAAATGATGCTATTCTTGCTTGTCTACCAATCAAATTCTAGTGTAGCTGATAAAACATAAACTTTATTCTCTCGCACTGAATGCAAAACACACATCAAGATAAAGATCTTTAAAAAGCATCGAAATACCTGCTTCCATGTTTGAGTGGACGGCGAGTAGTATTCTAGGCCAAGGACACCAGCACGAGCCATGTTCAACCAGTTGATATACATGATGTCATCAGCTCTTTGTCCCTCATGACCAAATATACTAAAAAGTGAATAATTGCGCTCAGCTTCGCTCAGCTAGTTTTATGAATCTTATAACCACCGAATGGAGAACCATTCATAATTTCATGATAAAGGAGATAATGGAACTCTGAAAAAGTCTCCAAAACAGCACGACGAATCGCCCCTTACTTATTCGAGAAGGGGGGGGGGGGGCTTATCTAGCAGAAGGCAAAAGTATTACCAGGACTGATGTTCATCTTTTACATAAGGAAGGTCAGTAGGCTCAAAAGGCTTATTGGGGGGGAGGGGGCTAAGCTAAATCGAGGGCTTATTCGAGTACATGTTTTTTACGAAATCGAAGTTAGAATGATTCTCTTCCCTTCAAGGCTAACATGTGCAATTTATCTAATAACATTGTTCCATTTATAAGAATATTGGCCAGTATCTACAAGCATGGTCATATGGTGAAATTTTGATTTGTAGGACTTCATTTATATCATAAAAATATAAATTTCTTGCTCGCATAATGTATCCAGTTCAAAAAACGAAACATATATAACCATTATATAGAAATCATAATATGTACAGTCATAGACATCTAACATCTAGGAAATAAGATGTAGAAAATAAACTTGTAAGAGATTCCATGATACCGGGATTAAGATTTTTTGGAAAGGAAAATTGTTGATTAAGACAGGAAAGGCAGTACAAAAGGAGAAAGATTGTTCATCGTTATCCGAGGAAATATAGAAGGATAAGAGCACAAAATTGGAGATAAATAACTGTAGGAAAATCATAATCAGTCATCGATATGAAAAGTAAATTAACAAAATGCCGTACAAAATACACAGAAAACAATTTCTAACTCGTGATAATAGTGTTTAAAATTAGAAGCATAGAAAGCTTAAAATCACAGAAACGTAAAGACATTTTGCCCGAGAATTTGATTTTTAGGCCTTCTCAATAAGTAGCAATGCCGATTTATTCTGTGGGAAATGATCTCAAACAAATGCTGCCCAATCTACAAAAAACATTAAAAAGAAGTTTCGAACGAATGTAAAAAGAATGAGAATGGGGTACATAAGAATCGTCGGCACCTTGGCAGGGATGTGAGAAAATTTAGACTTGATATACAGTAAAGAAGCATAAAGCAAACTTCTAAATTAAATAGCTTATTGTTAAGTGATCATCGCTGAAAATAGGCAGTCAAAAAATGACGAGAAATTGTTTTTAGTGAACAAATTATCACAAATATTCTGAAAGTAATACCGTTTATTCGTTTATCAAGGATAGTCTGCGCAAACAATTTCAAAAAATGGCTTCCTATAACCATGAAACAACGAAATGCAAACCATTTCTGACATTCTTAGACCTAAATATACACGGAAATAACTGAATTTCAGTACCCATAAACAACTTACCGTAGGATATCTTTCTCAATGCAAAGATATAAACCAACACACTCAGCACGGCATTCTTCATATGTTGAGCTGATGGTTGAGAAAATCGAATCCCATGTCTCACCAGGCTTGTACCAACTTTTTATCTAGAACAGATCGTTTTTGAATCCAGTAATTTCAAATTTTGAAAGCTGGTGAGAAGAAGACGGTTTAAGGTGTTGGAATAAGTTTCACGCTTGATACGATCATCCATATGCTACTTTTAGATTGTATGCACACCAAAGCTTCTCGTATACATATAAATACAAAACAAAAAATGAGCACGAAATACTAAACATAGAAATAATATAATAAAAAATTCATTATCATAATAGAAAACGACAAATAACCGTTATTGAGCTAACAAATTTTTGTTCATACATGTTTCATTTAAGGCGTTGCTAACTTTACTAGCATTTTGCATTGACAAACCTTGTCACCAGTGAGCATATCGGAGACTTTGTCTACATCATAGTTCAATGTTCCGTCTTTGTTCTGAAATAGATATACAAATACAATGAAACGAGAAAATGCATTGGGGGTAAATTTAGTACAGCGTTTATGAACTTATGGATGCTGAGTTAATTGCTAAGAGCAACGAATACTTGGTTAGGTTTTATATGTGCAATTGTGTGGTACATGATCACTTTAAATAACAAGTCTTTCTTAGTCGTAGATTGTTACGTCACCTGATGAAATTCAGTCTCTATTATGATAAGGTTCTACTTTACCATAAGTAGCTGGGTTATACATCCACTAATTCTATTATTTCGCCATATGCACAATTACTAGAAAAGTCAAAAGTTGTCTTTCTGTTCCTTATTTAAACTATCTGTCTCGATCATTCAAGAGTGCCTAAGGCTGTTAGCAATACACAGAAAACAAAAGTGAAGATGGCTAGCCTCGCAAAGTAGTTTTCCGCTTCCATGTCCAAGTAGTTCATGCAGGCCAACTTGAACTTCGAATGATGGCCCTCTTAGATCACAATAGAGCTCCTACGGTATAAAACACCTGTCAAAATCGGTGTCAATCTTCAATACTATTTTTGTTTTAAAATAAACAGCTTTTCAACAGCTTGCGTTCAAGAATTAATGGAAAAAATACCAATCAATACTTGGAGACAATACCAATTGGGCTAACTGAAAAAGCAGAGGAATGGCAAGAAAGCATGCCAGTAGAAATTTTGTTACCACTATGAGCTTTGCAAACAATTTTGCTCAAATCGTACTCTCAGCGAGGAAAAGCAAGAGTCCTGGGTACAGCACCGTAGGAAGGATAGAATTATTGAGGGGCAACAGAAAACGGCTTATTGGAAGCAAAGGATTTTTATAATTTTTGAGGGCTCCTTCTCCCCACCAACAACAAAAGAAGCTACAGTCCTGCCGGGGTAACAGCGAGGCGCAGACCATACCACACATCCGTGAGAATGCTTTATGTTTTTTTGTATCAGATTTTGTCATCTGACTTTATTGGGGAAAGAATCTAAATTTTCAGAAGAGGTTTGAGAAGGAAGAACAAAAAAATGATACCAGGGAATTTCAAAGCGCAAAGACACGAGCAGAAGAGTCTTTGCATGTCACCAAGAACAAATGAGTATGATTTTGTTGAATGTACCACTGACTACGAAGAAATACATTCATTTCATATAAAATACAAGCTGATTTCCGTCCCAAAACACCAAAACTGTACCGCGAACTCTTGTAACAAAGAGTCTGAAAATATCCTGGCAAATGTTTCGGTGCTTTTTAAAATAAATTTTGTATGCTTTAGCACTAAAAACGAAAGAATGGCAATGACACGCATTCATTTGTTAGCCTTTTGATTATGATGATGATAATGGTGATGACATTTGGCTGATTTTAATCCACCGTAAATAGATATGAAAACTTTATATTTTAATTGACTAGGCAGTATAAAAGCTCGTTCCAATTACAAAGTCTGACAAATTGCCTTTATAATATGGAGTTGAAGATAATAACAGAAATGCATAATAACCAAGTTGGTTTTGGATTTTATTGTATTGACTTATCAAACTGATTGCTTTTCAAGCGAATGGGAAAAACCGTAATACGGAATTAAGTCATAATAAATATGAATTAAAATCGATCGATGACTATGTGCAAATAAATTGGTTTACCTTTTCATTCTCCTCTAAAAATGTAATGTTCTTGTCTTTATTGTAGCTACTCAGCACATTACCAAGGGAGACATTTTTGAACCCATCAACTTGTCGGATATCGTCATCTGTAGGAAAGTGAGTTGCCATCAAGGGTTAACGAAACAAAAGGTCTATTTTGAGTTTGTTATCGGTGCTTAACGTGTTGGGACAGAAGCAGAAAAACAAGCTCAAGGGTTCTGAATAAACCAATGAGAATTCTGTTTCTTTAGCGATACGAAAACATATCTTTTATACTTAAGGTATATGTGCAAAAAGTTCATAGAAATCAGTGAAGGATGCATAGACGAACTGGGGAAAAATTTATAAGAGACAGTAAGCTTTAAAATGTGCATATACTAGAAAAGTTGCTTTATCATTATGTGAGAGGCACCCCACTGGTTGAAAAAAATGTTTGATAACTAAATTAACATTGGATTACATTAAATGTAAAAAAATGGTCAGCCATTTCAGAGTTTAGATGTTTTATTTCAAAGAATTAAAGAAAAAAGGTATTTGAATTATAGACATGAAGCATGTCGATTGTCCCAGTGGCTTGTGACATGGTGCTGCATTCAAGTCACGGAAATGAATTGAAAGTGAATTGAACTAAAAGAGACATCACGCAAAATTGTCGAGCTCACGATATATCAACATTAACTAGGCAAGAAAAAGAAAGCCATCAAACAAAAAATACCAGGGGAAACAACATCAGCGGTTACAAAGGAATATCTTTATTCAGTTTCTAAGTATGGTGCTGACTCTTCCATTGCTGTTTCCATTTTTTGAATTCCTCAGAATTTTCTAACGGATAAAAATACCTATAAGCATACTTAACAGGCCGACAAAAAGAGCAAAAAACTTACAGTTTGGTATATTGATGCCAGCAGGTATGCCACTACCAGCAAAGGAAAGAACGTCTAACGATGTGAAGTCTGGTCGAAGGTAATGGTCTTTCTCGAACTCACGATCCCAGGGCAATAACTTCAAGAGTCCTTCTGCTTTTTCGACCAGGGTTCCAAATTTGGCACTCATTTCCTTGTTCACCATTGCAACAAAGCCTGGAGTGAGACCATAGGTTAGATAAGAGACATGTACTGATTAAAGTCAACTTTCAAATAGCATCCCTGATAACTGATAATCGTATATAAATTGTTTGCCTGAAAACCTATAAACCGTTTTCAGCAAGAATGGGGAAACATGTTCACTGTTGGAATTATTTGCAATAATTAATTTGGGACATGGTAGAAATAAGTTTACACCGCGATATATAGAAAACACCGAAAATGTTGGAGATGAATCCTTCGCCATGTGGGCACAAATAATTTATGGCAAAAGGTCACTCCTTTTGACATCCAAATAAATGCCAAAAAATTTGTCAGGCAATTTTCAAAACCTCTGTTGCAACGAAATACTCCGTTAAGTCCTTCAAGGCCCACATTATAATCAGCTGTTGTTCTGGAAAACGGTAATTTAATTGTCTACTTTTGCCAGTTTGAACTTCAACTGACATGGGACCAATGACCGAGCCTTAAATTTTAACTGTCGGCTTTGGTTTTCTTTTATAATTCATCAGGCAGGCATATCCTTTAGTTTAATGAAACGTCCGTAGTTTGCATAAATTCAATTCAATTCAATTCAATTTTAATATACCTAAATACATTACAGTACAGAATAAAATTTATTAACATAACATTACAACATAGAACTTGAACATAGAACATTACTTAAACATGAGACATTATGTATTTAAATATATTTGTCTAATGAGGAGCTCTCTAATAGATGAACTAATCGAGAGAGGCCCCCCCTATAAAGCTTGAAAAGATCATGAAAAATTCCGACGAGGGCATGTGGAAGTAAATATAATATAATATTGAGTAGATAACCTTTTTATGCCAAAATTGTTTCATAGTAAACCCCCTGATTGATAAATGAAATTTTCATTACAAAGGCTCTTATTAAAGCTGCCAATTTAATATTAGTGTACTCTTTAATGTCTATAACTCTCGAGATAATAAATTAATATCCTGTTATATATTTAAAAAACTTTTACCTCTCCGTTTTTTGTGTATTTTCAAGAAGCTAAGAGTAATGTAGAAGTTCTTCTGCTACAAAATATAATTTTTTGCTTTTTCAGAGAAATGTGAGCCATGCACCCCGTAAAAAGATAAACTTACCTTCAAATTCGCCACGGACACCATAAGGATCTCTGTATGATTCGATAAACCCAATATAGCTGTTAGAAAAATTCAGGAGCACATTTTAGAAGAGTAAGATAACAAGATGTTTTGCATCATTTAAATGCCTATCAAAAATCCAAAACATTGTAATCAACATTTGCACTTTTCAATTGAAATTCCTACAGAGTTCTTTGCAACAGAGTTCTTAAGTGTGACGACGTCAAAAACTATTTTTAGAACTTTTGGAGTTTGACCACATATCATAAAAGAACGCCACAAAATACTTCTAAATATGCAAAGTCAGCTAGATGTGTCAAAAATAGGATGAGATATGGCCAGTGAAAGGTTAGAAGTTTGCTAACGGATAACTGTTATTTTGGCTCTGTTAAAAAAGATGGGCTTGATAGGGAAAGAGCCTGTGTTTATGCGACCATACTTTGTCAATTTGTAACACATTTAGATGATTTTGCATATTTAGAATTATTTTATGATGCTCTTTCAGGTTATTCTTTCAGGAATCCAAATTCAAAAATTTCTAAAACAGATTATTGTGACGTCATCACTTAAGAACATTTATAAATTATCTAAAATCCGAACAGCGTACATATCTCATGGGTAGATCTAGAGTAGGAGAAGATTTGGTCAAAATAGATATCAATAGCATTTCTAAGAGCATTATATATTCTCTGAAACAATGTTTATCAACAAGCTTCAATATTTTACAATTTAATCCTATGGAATTGCAATGAAAATAGGCACCTCTTCAATAAATGTTTTAATGTGCAGATAGGTTGAACATTGCTAACATAAAATAACTTAAAGAGGTAAAGATATATAGAGGAAAAACAAATAGCTTTGTAAAATGTGAACAATTTTTTGTTGGTACAAAATTTGAAAATAGCTTTGAAAATATATTTTCCCATAGGCAGGCAGTACCGGTCATGTGCTTGTGTTTTTCTGATTGGCCTATTTTTATCCACAACTGGATATATATTTTCCATCTTTGACAATGTAAACTTAAAGGCTTCAAAATTAGAAACAAACTCCAGGAAATAACATCCAAACAATATAAGAAAAACTTCAGTTTAAGTCAGTAGACAGTGAAACAGAGACAGTGAAAAATCATTAAACACCATTATCATAAACCCATATATGCCTTTCAAGTAACTTTCTGTCAAAATTCCTCAGGTTTATGTAGCACCTGAGTTCTTGTGAGGTTCCTTACTGAAAAACGTATACTAAAATCTTTGCTTTCTGATGAGTGTAAAATCATATATAACTTGCTTTGGGCCTAGCATAGTAATTCATCTAAATGGTTTGCACTAGTATTTTCTATTGAAGCCTAATTTTTCTTTTACTTATTGAAATGATCAACCAAAAGAGCACCCAAAATACACACTTGATATATCTTTATTCATCAATGGTAAAAAATCTACATTAACTGCACCTAACAATACTGTCAAATAAAACATAATCTGCAACAAAATCAAAACACACATACCTTTCAATGACTGGTCCTTTATCCTTGATCCAATACCTTGACCCATCCTTGTGGGCATCAATTGATCCCGTGGTGAAAGAATGAATGTAGTGATCCAGCATTGATTTCTCATTCTCGTTTGCAGCATATTTCTAGAAGCAGCAACATAAATTCTGATTTTTATGGTCTTGATGTACGGAATAAAATTATTTTTTTTGAATTTTCTTACAAGTTATATTATACAGTTGCCCACAAGGGTTACGGCAAATATTCATGATACCCACAGCAAGCATTCTTTTTCAGATAAACTTTCTCTCACATTCATGGCAAACATTCCCTCACATTCACGGTACTATAGCTTCAAATATTCACGTCACACTTTGTTTCATATTCAAGGCAAACATTCTCTCACATGCGTGGCAAACATTGTTTCAAATATTCACAGCAAACATTCTCTCACATTCACGGCACACATTCTCTTACACTCATGGCACACTTTCTGTCACATTCACGGCACATTTTGTTGGATATTCCCTGCCTTGTGCTCTGCTCCTCCGAGCTATGTTGGGCCAGGGCCGTTGCTCTCATGGAAATGGTACCCTTCATGTCAAATACCCTAAAGTTCAATAATTTTTTGTTTTTTGCAACTATCAATATATTGATCTAAAACTAAACTAAAAAACATTTACAATGAAAATATCCAGATCACTGTGATGTCTTATATGGCTTTGCTTGTCTATGTCATGTACTAAAAAAGAGTTCTTGTTTACAGAGCCTAATGCATTTGAAAACTGTATTTTGGTCTTTTGATAATGTTTCTACCTACCTTTGCATTTTCAAGGTTTTTCACAACCCTGCCTAGCAGTGGTGAATAATCCCCTCTTGTTATTTTCAAAGTTGCATCTTTTAATTGATAGCTGCCTAGCTTCTCTGCTACAGTGTCTTTGAAGTTGTTTTTGCAAGTCACTGCACTTCCTGATGGAAATGATTACTTAGATTGAAAATTTAACTGTTTTGTGTTTCATGCTTACCATGCCATTTCAAAACTTTTTAGTGAAAAAGGCTTATTTAAATCTTCAAAAGTGATAACAGGATTTAATCCTACCAGTTATAATCTTCTTGGAAATAGTTTTGCATCAGTTTAATTCCTTGACTGCAAGTATGTATCAGAAACTTTTTAAAAATGAAATAAACAGATTAAGTAGGAAAAGCAAGCATTGAGCAAAATACCATTCAGCCACTTACCTGATTTTGAGACTGATGCAAGACGCAGCTCATAAGTAACTTTGTTGTCCTTCCCGATGGTTTTAAATAGTCTTGTATTATATGGGCTTATTTCCTAGATAAAATACAGATTTTTAAATCAATAACATATACAAAAAATGCTTAGCTTAATGATATTGGATAGGGGATTGGGAAAGGCAAAAAAAGAAACTAGAACACAGATAATTCAATGTTTGTGCTAAAATGTCAAGATAACAAGGGTAAGCATATCCACGGTTATTGCAAAGGCCTTAATTACAAATGCTTAAGCTTTTGAGATTAAATGTTTAGGTCTTATAATTTTTCAGATTCTTCGAAGATGACCTACATCTTTTGTTCACTACCAAATTCATTGTCAAATTGTTTTACTAGATGAATGCCAGTGTAACAACGAATGAATTTATCAAGAAGGAACTTTGGCTAAACAAATTATGCTTGGTCAAAACAAACAACTGTGAAAGCTTTTTAAGGAAGTGGCTTTACAATTTATGTCGCAAAATCAAGAAGTTACAAGATTAAAACGCAGTTGCCATTTCCATGTTTGGAATGGTTGCTTTGGTTCAGATTCTGTTTGTTACAGCTTTTTTAGTTACTTTGATCATTGTGGAAAACAGTTCCTTTGAATCTAGCGTTTATGGCATTCCACAATGCAAAGAGGAAGCCCAAGAGAGATGTCTGAATAACAGTATAAAATTTTTAACCACTATCTGAGAAAACATTAACTTTGTCAAAAACATTGCACGCATATTATTATAAGGCAATAAGGTAAAAAAGACAGTCATATTCAAAATACTACATATCATCAAAATTCAAATGAAGAAACAATTCAATAACTCTTACCTTCTCATTCATGAAGTCTCCAACAATTTTTAAATCACTCCTGGTACAATTACTAGAATAATATGTGGAAATTCCCTAAACAAGAAAAAAAAGAAATGTCTAATGATCTCCAGTCATATCCAACAGGGAATACTGTAATAAAATAACTGCAAAGATTTGAAAGTTATTATTCCCAAAGAATAAATAAAGGAAGCGCACCTTTTCCTCCAAGCCAAGCTCTTGAAATTGTGGTTCTACATTATAAATGGCTTTATTGCACTCTCCCCACAAAGGCTCTATTAAAACTGAATGATTCTTAAAGGCTTCACTTTCCCAAATGATTGCCTTGAGTTTTTCCTAGAAATGAAGATGTGGAAAATTAGTCAAAACATTATTTAATGAACGAGTGTACAATTTATTTAATTCTAAAGAAAGGATTGCTTTGGAAATTTACTTATCATATTCATACAAGCATGGAGAGATCAACTCAACTGTTTTTTCTTCCTATTTAAGCCAATATTATCTCCTAACACATCAACTTATAAATATTTGTCCAGATTTTAATTTAATGTTTTTAAACAAATTAATTTATCTTTAAAAACACAAAGTACCTTTGATATGGCAGGTATGATCTTTGTATCTCCAAATGATTTGTAATTGCCCATGTTTGAATACACTCCAGCAGCATAAGCCAGTAATGCCTGAAAAATCATAACCAAGATTATACCTTATTGAGAAATTAACTTGTAATACTTTGAAAGCACTGATAGAAAGCTGCAGAGATGCATTGAGCAGGCCTCTCCAGGGAAAAAAAACGCAGGCTATAGAAAGCCCTTCCCAGTTTGGCTGTGTGGGCTATTTAGCACTTGCAGAACTGTTGTTAATTTTTTTATATTCGAGTATTTACAAAGGCAAAAATACATTACCTTGTCAATTCCTTAAAAATTTTTCACCTTAAATTTTGTATCAACACTTCTTAAAATGAGACAAAAGAGGAAAATAACTTTTTTTGGAATATAGCAAAGTTTTGTTAGGTTTTGCCGGTAAAATGTGGCTTTTTTGGGAATGCCTAGTTTTGATGTTGTGACTTGAACATAAATTGTTTGGTATTAGACAGCATGTTGCAACATTTCTTACTTTAATTATTCAAAGCATTAATCTTGCTATATGTTGTTCCTTTTGTGTGAACACATTTCTTATTCCATTGCAAGTTTTAGCAGATAATACAATAGTTTGTTAATATGTGATAAACATATAGACGTGTAAGACCCCATTTCTCTTTATTTACTAACACCCTGGTATTCAGCAGTAAGTTGTACAAACATTGGGAAGCTAAACTCCGCATATTAAATGAGAACATTGGTCTGAAAAACTGGGGGCGGAAAAAGTCCTCGCTATGGCAAACATAAGTTGGGAAGAACAAAAGTAACGAAACTCTGCACAACTGCAAAGCAATGTACAGAGTTAACCTTTTTTGATATTGAGACATTTGAATAATGAGATAATAGTAAAAATTTTAAAATAAATACATTTAAGCATATTGTTCTGGACTGATCTTAACCATTTGTAAAAATGTTCAAAATTTTGAGGTTAATTGTTTTAGAAAATACATCTGGGACAATATTCCAGTGAACACACCCTCAGGGGAATTTATGGACTGGAAACTTTTGTTTACTAAACAGGATGTTTACTAGCAAAAAACAATGGATTGTTTACTGGGGAAAATATGGTATGCAAAACTTAACTCAGAATGAAGCAGCAACACCAGGCTTTCGTTGGAAAGGCATGCGATCGCACGCGCACGCCCTGGAGCACACCTACTGCTTTCGAGGGGTGCAAAATATCACACGCCTTATTTTATTCTGCGAGGGAAATTTTCTATCAAAGATTGGATTTGTTGGTCTTTGAGATGGGTTTAAATGTAAATCTGTCCTTGGTACTATTACTTCATGCCACTTCAAAAAAGGCTTAACACCTTGTCAGGATTGCGAATTGAATAAAAGATTTGAAATCATCATAGGACTAACCTACAGTGGAATCCTGATAATATGAAACCCGGCTATAACTAATTTTCTGGTATAACAATATTTTCTCTGGCCCCTTGGATTCCACCGAACCCCTTACAAATTTTCTCGGTATAACGAATCCCGTATATAACAAACTCTTGTTATTTCGAACCGAATTGTATGTCCTTTCACCATGATTTTCATCTATATGACGAACTTTTCTTTAAATTTTCACTAATTAAATTTTCTCCGTTATTTTGGTCTACTTTTTCCCCAGTGTATATTTATTACTTTTTCTTGGGGGAATAATTATTTTCATCTGCAAAACAGACATTGACAAACATGCACCTTTTATGATGCAAAAAATGGAAACAAGATTTGTGTTTACACCTTTTCAAGGCTTTATGGCATTTCAGTGAACAAATCCAAATACAGAAGATTATAACAGACAATTTTGTCTCCGAATTTTATAAGGAACATAAAGTGTTGTGAACAAGATTTTCATTTTCCATTGGTAATTTAGCAAAAGTAGCAGATTTGCCAATTATGCGAGAAAAAGTAGCAGATTTGCGGATTTTGCTACCCCCATATAACCCCCTTGTCAGACTTTGCTATGCTTTAAATCTAGATTTTTGTGACATTTAATTTAATGAAAAATGGCCCATCATTATCTTTTATGCATTATCTTTATGGATTATCGACATCTGGCCGGTGAGGTGCATAAAATAGCTGTGATGCTTGATAGCCGAGGGCCCTAGGGGCACATACGCAAAAACGGTCATTACAACCAGATGAACGCCAAGCCCCCACTGACTCTGCTAAGGATATATTATCGAAGACTATGTAGAAACTTGCTCAAGTCTTCAGAAATAACACTTTTTTTGTTAAAATGCAAGTAGTGATGCTAAGGATTCAGCAAAATAAATTTCATCAAAATTATTGGTGTCATCATTGTCGTGTTGGCAATTTCTGCATAGATCTATTATGATAACCATAGATTTTTGCAAAAAAAATTAACACGCCATCACACGCCTGCATGTTGTCAGCCGTGTGGTGGTTAGCACACCTGCTATATTTTTCCCATGAAAGCCTGAACACATTTTTACAAAAAACCTCAATTCATTTAGGGTATACCAACCACTACCACTTCACTATAAATAGCCACAGCATGAAGCTAGCTTGATTAGAAAAGTCAAAACTTTAAAGTCTTAAAAGAAAGTTTAGCATGGAATATTGCAGAAAATTAGAGGTTTAACAAGTTACCTTTCGACTTTAGCAAACGTTTGCATGTTTGAAAGATGTGTGTATCTAAGAAGGATTTTAAAATTAAAATGAACTTGTCAGTCAAGGTTTACTTAGTTTTTTCCGTAGATATGATAATGGCATATATAATGGCATGACACTTTCTAATTAATTTATAGGGATTTACAAATGATGATCAAACTTCTGCAAGCAGACCTGAAAATCATCATCAGTGATCCTCTTATCTGCCTCTTGTGCTGCTTTTTTCAATGACTCGATGTTTTGTTCAGCAAAGAGTCTTTGAAATAAAAGGAAGATTGGCACTGATTCGCATGAAGTTTGTAATAGCACTATGAGACCTCCTTCGTAAGCAGCTTGGGAAAGGAAATGAGCGTATTTTTTCTCTTGATCTTCCAATGCATCAAATGCTCCTTTGCACTCTAAGTTGAATACTGGAGTAGTATTTGGAATTGTAAATTCTGCCATTGCTCAGCCGTAGGATAACAATCCACCCTATCAGCAAAACGTTAAATTCATGAGTCACTCTTTATGGATTGGTCTCGTTCTCAAGTAGAGACTCGTGGAATTAATTATACAATATGGCAACACGAGACCAAGAAAGCAGAGTAAAATAGTGAGGAAAAGAACCATTAAATCTTTTTAATTATGGTAAGATTACTTTGATTATATTTCTTGCAAATTCCTTCTGAAACTCAATCGATTCAGCATAGGTTGTTTTATTGAGGGAAAAAGATTGAAAAAGGCTAGTTTCAGGCAGTGGCGTAGCGTGACTTTTTCAACTGGGTATTCTTTATTAAACAAAAGGGTGGGGCAGGGTGTGGCTCAATGGGGCTTGATGGAAATAGGAGGGATAATAGGAAGATTAAAAGGACTAGCTATTGACAATTTATCTAATTTTCTTTCTGGTTCGGTTGGCAAGTACTGCACTGTCAGGGCATTACTATGATGAAAACGATACTTTGCTAAAGGACCCTTCAAATATACTCTTCGAACTCATTCATTGCATCAAAATACCACTAACCATTTCATCAAAAGTAATTCAAATCAAAACGTATCATTGAAAGTCAGTAAAATTTTGCTAGTCGAAATATGTCCCAATAGTTGTTGTTGAATCCTCTAAAATTTGCACTGATGTAAAGAGGAAGTAACTGTAAACACCTTCTCTTGATACCTTAATACAAAAGGGCTTTCGAAAGTTATTCACATAGGGCATTACACGAGTTATAAATAGTTTGTGGTATGCAGTGGATGCAGTCTAGACTTTTTCTTCAAGGCTTAATCGTGATATTTTCAATACAAGTTGATGATTGAGAGACTCGAAGGTAATGAGACGAGACTGCACAATAAAGCAAATAAATGGGCTCGAATAATGCAAACAAAATAGGCCAACAATATAAGTGAATGTACCAGGCAACTATAAGGATATTATCCAGGCCTATCTGCATTTAATTTAATTCTATCACATAATACAAACAGAAGCATTCCTGATTGACAAGCAATAACAAAATTGGCATTTCAAGAGGCACAGATCTGAGTCAGTGTAGCATTATGTAAAAGCCTCCCTTTCCTTTCCACTTTGCTGTTGGTAGATTAAGATTAGGGGTCAAATGAGAGAATGATTATTAAACAGTAATACGGACACTGCAATAGCTTTGAATAAAGTCATGTTTACTGTTTTCAATGAAGATCCATCACTCCAACCTCTCCGACGTCCATTATCTGTTTATATCGATCTCAAAACGAGACTTTTTTGAACCAACTTTGAGGCTGTACGCTGCATATTTCTCAGCGTACAAGACCATTGTTTTAGCTGATTAACGGCAAATATTATTCATGGAAAGGAGCATTTTGATTGGTTAAAGTACCGTCTAGGGTATTCACTGCGTATTCATGACCGATCTCCATTCAACATGAAGTAGCTCAATCTTCAAAATTAGCTTCAAAGATCTCCCAGCTTTTCTATGCGTCGCAGCGTTATTGTTTCCATCAATTTCGTGATATTTTGTACTTGTACAAAATGCAGAATATCGAAGGTAACGAATTCAACCAGAATCAATAGCCCCAAAACATTTTTTAGTTATTACATTTATACGTCGTTTTAATATTTTTTCTGAGAAATCTCAGGGTATTCACTGAATACCTTGAATACCCGGACGCTACGCCACTGGTTTCAGGTAGGTTTTTTGTATAAAAAATGGGACAATATTAATATATGTTTTAGAAAGAGTGATTGTAGTGCTGAAAAAAGACCCAGGTTTGTGCAAAAACACATTCAAGTCCTAATAGTATGGATATCCATCCTTTCTAATTCAATCTTTGTAAAATGACCTCTGCTAGTTTTTTCCCATTATTTACTTGTGTTTTGAAAGAAGTTTGATACCTTTTTTAAATTTGTTGTGAGATTACCATCATTGGCAGACATAAATTTTTGCAAGCAGAATATTTTCCCATGCAGACCATACTCTTCAGTCTCAAAAATTCAGATTACTTTCTTCATCTCATCATTGTAGTCATACACTGATAGTTGTCTGGAGCAGCTTTTCACAAGTGCACGGTTTTTCCCCAATCTGCCAGGTGTGGCAGTCAGGGGCGTCACTTCATACTTTTTGTTGTTGGAGGGGGGGTTGCACATTTGCCCTCCAGAAAAAATTTTGCCCTGGCAAAAGTTTGAAATGTTGGGAACTGGCCCTCAGTTCCTGTAACACTAAAATGCTTCTTTAGTTAGGTTTTTCCCGCTTAGTTCCTTGCTCAGTGTGTCCACAAGTTCACCAATGTGTTTGCCTAACCTTGGGGAGAGGAGCAAGAGAAAGTTTTTTGATGAGGGAGGCAACCCTCCATCCTGGATTCAAAGAGCATGCGCTGATTTTTTACAGCACACTTTTGATATACACACTAGTATTTCACAAGATGAGGGTATCAAAACTTCCCTCAATGTCATCAAAAATCATTATAGGGAAACTACCCTGCTGCATATAAAATTCAACAGAAAGTGATTTTTATTTTTTAAACATAATTATATTGCCTTTACAATCTCTTTTTATAAGAACAATTTTTTAAGAACACAAGCTTCAAAATTTGTCAAAAATTGAGAACAAATTAAGAACAAGCTGAGGCTGAGTTACTGTAAAATGTAACTTTGAACAATGTTTCATCTCAAAAACAAAGAGCTTTTTGCCATCTTGGGATGCTTCTTCGGTGAATATTCAAACATGGAGGCAAATGAAGGTTTTCTCACGCACTTTGTTGGCAAATGAGGCCTGGACAAGCAAAAAGATAGCAATCGCACTCCTTTTCCCTATAAATTTAAGAACAAATTAAGAACAATTCACCCTCAGATTTTTGAAAAAGTTAAAAACAGCCAGCTTGAACTTCAATTTACTGGCTCTTATAAAGAAGTGTGCAATTGTAAATTTTATTTTATTAAATGCACCGCAATGGGGAAACCCTTTGCCCCAAATTATGCCAACATATTCATGACAACAATAGAACAACATATCTTGAACCACCCCCCATACCCCCCCTCCTCAAGTGACGCCCCCTGGTGGCAGTTCTAGACAAGATCTCATGCACACTTGTATCATGCACACTAGATCAGATCTTGTGTCATTTCAAGCACATTTTCAGTATATGCTTTTTCATATGGCGTGCAATGAGAAGTTCAAATTAGTGTATTGTAAATTCAATTTGAGATTTCAAATTTTGGTGTGAAGCACTACACTGACCTTGCACCTGTATCTGCCATACTCTGCAGTCTAGGTTTGATCCAATGTTGCTCACTAGGAAATATACAGAGCTAATTCAAAGTTTTGTCCAATTTCTATATACCATATCAAATACCTACAAACCTATAAATACAGCAAGAAAATAAGAAGATTTTACCCATATTAGATGGCAGATAAATTTTATGAATTGAATGGTATGTATGGTGTGAATAAATGGAAGATAGGCCAGATATGTCCTTAAACAGACACCAGCAATGCAATTTATCAAGAATGACTCATTTTTGGAGTTCTGTTGGGAGAATGCTGTCTCTTTAAGAATGTTGAGCTCCAAGCTAAGATAATTTGGAATTTAAATAGCACCAAGACAGGTTCTAGTGGCTCTTTAAGAGCTACTGATGCACCACAATTCTTTCAACTTTTGTCAATAAGTAGCTACAAATAAAATTTTGGTAGACTTCATGAATAACCAAAACATGTGTGCTTGTGTAGCAATTTGTGATTATGTCATGAACTCTTTAGTCTTAAATTATTCTCAATGAATTTTGACACAAATGAAAGTTTTGTGAAACTCAGCTGGAATGGGAATTTCCTGCACCTAACTGGCCTTCCTGCAGAATTTATCAACTTGTATCTTCATACACCTTAAGAATGGTGTCATGTTAAGGGAGCTATTAACAGCCACTCTAAGATATTTTTATTCTTTCGTTACAGAGATCTTGTTAACCAGGGGGAAAATCTAAATTTTTTTAGTTTTTTATGGAAGGAAGAATAAGGAATAACAGGTGCGCGCGCCTAGAGCGCACCCAAAAGAAGCCTTGGAGAGCGATTTATAGAGCCCCTCAAAACGTAAAAACAATATTACCACGGAGCAAAATAATTTCTTGGCCTTTGTCTAATAAACTTGATCAAGCATAAAGTATCTTCCCAATAGACCGCAATATTATGATTTGTGTCAGATTACCCCTTGAGAAAAAAATTCAGCAAATTCAACGTTGGGTTTTCGATACCATTTTTAATCTAATAACCCTATAATAACCACCAAGGACACAGGTCATCAAGCGTATTCTCCTACAGGTTATTTTTGATTTTCGAGCAAGCGTTAATCTTCTGTTGAAGTATTATTTTCTGTTTTTTCTTAATAATTTAGAGTCACCTTTGCAAATCAGAGATCACATTTCCGTCCAATTTATTGCATTGCTTTTCAGTTTTCATTTGCTTTCGCAAGTAGTAGATGTTCTAGTGTCTCTTATAGAATGGATAGCATAAAAAGGGAAATAAAGTTTGACTTAAAGCCATGCGATTTCCTATATTTCTATATTTGTATTAACATAGTGTTTGCTGCATGTTTTGTTATTTCATATTATGGTGCTTTTTGGTATCACCATTGAATTTCTTATTTAACACTCTTCCAAAGCTATGATATGAAGCTCTCAATCTTCCAAAGCTCTTAAAGGATGCTCTCAAGGATATTATATTTAAAGGTGCGAAAAGAGCACCTAGAGTTTATAAGGGGCTCTTTTTATGGAGCACCTTCATTTTGCTTAGAGCAAGGCCTGGAATAAAGTATTTTTCCATGCAGCCTCAAAAAAGATTTCCAAAGTCATCTTAACATTGCTAGTTCCCCAGTTAGAGATCCAAGATTATTTACCCTGCTCTCTTCTTTTCCTGATGCAGCTTATTGTTTCAGGGAAAGACAAAAAGTGGTAAGAGATTTGCTTCGGTTAAACGCATCATCAGTCCAAAAGATGCTAGAATGTAAGGATTGCTTTTTTTCATCATTTCAATAAAGTATGTCTCCTAAGAAGTGTTTATTGGTCTAGCAGCACTGTTCAAGTCCTACTCACAACTTTCATTGGATTGTTAAATCCTAAAGACAATTTTCCATATAATTAGTATATAAGCTTTAGTGTTAATAAAGAAAAAAATAGTAGTGGAAATTTACTCAATGGAAAATGATATTGAAATACATAGGCACACTGACATTTTTGTCATGTGTATATTTATGGCCAGTATATGTTAATTATGAATGTCAAATGACAAAGAATTAAAGATTTTTGTGATGACAAAAGTGACTTTTCTAAACGAGCTGCCATTTTAGGGCTTTTTTGCCTTATGCTTTGACTCTATTTTCTATTTTGTTATCAAATTTGAGGCATCAACTTCATTTATCTGATGGTTTTATCACCCCTGGACTACATTCTACAACAACACTAGGTAGCATGGTGCATCTGGTTAAAATTCATTACAATTTAATGATTACTGTCTATAATACAGGTAATAATGATATAAATTTCAATGAATTCCAAATTTTTTTTGTTTTGAGGTTTGCGCAAATTTATTTATAAATATAATCTTTAGCAAAAAAGAAGAAAAGAAGAAAAAAGAAACTAAAAAGAAGGATGAAGATGAAATAAGAAATGTGTAAGTACCTATGTTAGAAATGTTAAATATTTACATATTTTTTCTACTGCTAAGAGTTTTTCTTGGTAACATTTTGTTGACTTTAGGCTGTCTCAACTTTTAAAAATGAATGGACTAGATTGCCACAAAAATTTTCATATTTTGTTAAAATCCTTTCCTTTTTAGAAATATTTTTAATCAGAGCTAGCTATGAGTTAAAGCCTTTATTTAAATTCAGCTCTCCAATGAGTTCCTGATCAATATGTCAATATTTTTACATATAAATGTTGGAATATAGAATTATTAAATTTTTAATCAGGGTACTAATTTTGAAAGTTAACTTCATTTATTTAGCTTAGAGTTTTATTTGACACTTCTATTTATATAAGTTTCTAAGTTAGTTCAATAATATGAGCATTTTGCCATTCTATGTTAAATTTTATGAGAAACCACTCCACTGTTTCTCAATTTATTAGAAAATTTTACCTGAAAATTTTGGGATAAATTTCAGGTCTACAGATACATGAAGGCTTTGTTTTATTTGAGTGAACTTTTATTGCCAGACAATTTTACCTGGTTTCATTTTCACCTTTAGTTTCATTCATAAAGGGCTAGTGTAGACATGCAAAATCTTGCCTTTTAGCTTTTTACTTTTCTATGAAAATTTTGAGATTAGAATTTATAATTACATTGTATTTGAAACTTTTTATATTCCAGGGCTCAGAACTCATCAGCTTTGTTTTTCCAATACAACACACAGCTTGGCCCTCCTTACCATGTACTGATTGACACAAATTTTATAAACTTCTCAATCAAGAACAAACTGGATGTTATGCAGTCATTAATGGACTGTCTGTATGCCAAATGTAAGTATCATTTTTTAAAATTTGTTCATAGATGTTTATAAAGTTGTTCTGTTTGGTGAAATGCTAACTGGGTTATTCATTTTGATATTGCTCATTATTTTAAGCTTGAAAAATCTCACCATTGTTACTATTAAAAATTTCAGGCACACCATACATTACAGACTGTGTAATGGCAGAATTGGAGAAGCTAGGACTGAAATATAGGCTAGCCTTAAAGTGAGTGCTTGTTTTTAATTATTTAAATATTATGATTGGAAAAGGTGACAAATTTATCTTCTCTAAGAACTGGAGAGTTACATACTTTATGTATAAATAACTTTCAAATTTTTGTTAAGATAACATAAATTATCTTAACAACTTCATATTTAGGGCTTCTTTAAAGATCGTATTATCCTTCACATTTCACCTACAAATGGCAGTGTCGATTTTGCCAGTCACTATTTCTGTTTTACTATCATATGTGCTTTTTCTTGCCTGCTACATTACAGGGTTTTTCTGTTCTCTCTTTAGGTTCTCACACAGGGTATATCTTTCCCAAGACTTTCTACTCCCTTGCACAAACCAGCTTTTGGCCCTGTTTTCCCTCCATCAAAACGGTATAATCATAGTCTGTTTGCCTTCTTCAGAATAGCTAAAGACCCAAGATTTGAGCGCCTTCCTTGTATGCACAAAGGCACTTATGCGGATGACTGTTTGGTTAACAGAGTTACGCAGGTAAGTATCATTTTCTTAGGAGAATAAGCTTCATAGACTAAGACATGAAATCAGTGTTCTGTCGTTTTATTCTAAGTTCTAATTCCTTCTCAAATTTCACTTTTCTCAAGCTCGTTTCCGTTACACTGAACTCTTCCAAATGGCATTTGACTGGTCTATTCTTTGACTTGAGTTTTTCAAGAGAAAGTTGAACTTAGAAAAAGACTTGAGCATTTTGTGCAGCTCTTTGAAAACTGAACAACTAGGCCCAGGGTACGATTGCAGTTAAAGATTGGAGCAAGAAATGATTGTCACTGCAAAAGATGACCAGTTACTAACGGAATGGAACCAATTTGCTTGAGATAAAGTTTTATACCATGTTTATTTGTTTAAAATAATCTCTTCAACCCGTCTTTTCGATTGACTATGAATCTGAACTCATTTTTAGCATAAGTGCTATATTGTCGCGACGTGTGATAGAGATCTGAAGAGGAGAATTCGCAAGATTCCAGGGGTACCTATAATGCATATATCACAACGAAGGTATATACTTTTTCGATAACCAAAATGTATGACCCTTAGATTCTTTCTGTTGTTTCATCTTGTAATCTATCGAGTTATTTTGTTTTTGAACACTTTGTGGAAAACTCTTTTAGCACTTTACAAGATTTAAGAATTGAATGTTAACCTATCAGCTCAGCTCGCGTCAGTTCCTCTTGCCTTTTTGCTACTGTATCTATGATGTTCTGTTTGTCAATACAGTTGTTGGACTCTTTGGCGACTATGATATATTTCCCTTATTTATGGTTGTATTCAGTGATTCTTCCAAGGGTAGCCTCTCATTTTTTGTCGATTTCGATGTTTTATTGACTTTATCACTTTCCTTTCTTGTGTTATTGCTGGTGGTGGAAAACGTGCAATGTCAGGTTGTCTTCCTTTGTTCACAACCTCTTGAAATCTTACTTACATTTTATTTACATGCAAGTTTCGAGTATTTTTTCTAAAGCGTCCTACTCATTCTCTTAACATCACTTTATCTCTGTTGATTCAATAGTAATTTGAATTTTTTGCCACCATTTGCACCAATCTGCTTTCATCTTCCAGGTACACCATTGAAAGGATGCCAGATGCATTTGGAGGTCTGTATTGCCTGAAATTTCTTCGAACGTATAATAACAGCATTTTGATAAACCAGACTGCTTGTTCGTGGAATCTTGCTTTCTTTTAAAGAAACCTTTCTCTTTTGAATCTTTCCTAAAGTGCATTCAATGCCCGATTATTCGAGGGCTATGAATTGAAATCTTTCTGAATTCGAACAAAACATTTTTTCCTTCTTAGTTTTGCTCTTAAGACCAACATTTTATATTTCGAGAAAACATTTGAATCATTTTTCAATATTGGTCTTTTGCCCAACGAGTAAAATGTTTTTTCGCTATTTCAATATATCGAGGCTTCATTTTGTCGTCTGATTCTTCTTCGTTGCTTCTTTTGTTTGTACATTACTCTAAAGTTGGTTGTTAGGATTAGCTAGTGACTGCCAATGCTCGAGTCAAAGGTACCGAATATTACCCTAAACACTGAACCGAAGAAAATATCAAAAGGGTTGTCGAATGCACCGAGCATTTCTCCGAACATCGATCATGCTTAAGATTTTAAAAATCGCCCCTTTAAGGAAGCATAGGAGGATTGTTTACTGGCATACTGTGGATTTCTAAGAACTGATGATATAGAAGTAGCCAAACTTCAGATATAGAAGTAGCAATTTTTGGAAGATGATGAAAGACGTTACAGGAAACGAAATAAAACCACAAACTGGGTACATGTTGGTACCTGGGGAATGAACCGAACAAAACGAGCTGGTCAGACGTACCAAACTTTTCACCCAGAATCTATGTTGCGGGTTGTTCGGTTTAGTAGGTGTCGTATGATAATTTTTTTCCTAAAACATTGTTATTTGTTTTTAGCCCCGAGGCAGTGAATGAAGATTTCTTTGAGCATGAATCGTGCAAATTTTCAAGCAGCCGAAGTTCCTTTACTGCAGAGAGATCCATCTGTTTTGTTTCTTTTACGGATCCTGGCTATTGTCCAGAAGTCGCCAAGTTTATTCTGAATCCATCGACTATAAAAGCGGACAATTTTCAGGCACAATGCAGTGTATCTAAGTAAAGTACGATGAAGAACTTAACAGATAACAATATTGAACTTTCTACGACCATTTTCATGCATTGAGCTTTTATTTTTCTTTATTTTTGACTTATGATGTTCCCTTCCCTTTCAATGAATTCCTTTACTCATAATGCACCAAGTCTGAGAAGGAAATATTTAAGTTTTTAGCTTTAAACCCGGGTGGATTTCACCCTTTGATAGAAACTTTTGTCATGAACACTTTTTTGAAATCTATACAACAGGGTAAAATTTATAAATAGAGCAACAGAAAAGCTAGATGGCTATCAGTTGAATTAGCTTCTCGTAATCTTTTTAGGTTTTAGTTAATTTCAGCTTGAGGTCTGTCGTTCTCGTCTGGTATATAATAAACATATAGTAAAGAATATTTCTTGAGGTTTGTGTTGCAGCTCAGTTCATTTGTTTTTAATGGCATTAAAAGTAAGCTTGTGTCAGAATTTTATTTACTTCCCGCGTAAAGTTCAAATAATGTCCAGAATTTATTTTTCAACTTACTTATTAATATAGTAACCAAAACATGCTTTACAATTTGAACTAAAGCCATGGGCTTTTGATGTACGCATGTGACATATTGGTAAACTAGTCGCAAAATACAAGTAGTTGCAAGGACTTTTTTTCGACTATGAAATGGATCCAAATGTTCGAAATTTGATTATTCGAGAGCAACATCATATGGCAAGGACAGGCCTAAAGGGAATTATCCAACAAGTATTTAAACGAATTTCAGTTTTTTTGGTTGATCCTCACTCCAATTGTTTTATCCACATGCCAGGGAATCGAAAGCAAACTTTAAAGTGCAGGGGACAAAATACACATCTCGCATAATATGTGGGGATATTAATGTAGTTCTAACTCGGGGACTTGAGAAAATCAGCAATAGTGCATAAAATTGTCATTTTCGTTGATTTCGGCTGTGAAAAATAAATATTATACCTCCACTCACGCAGGTATTCGGACAGTTTCGAATTTAGTTGTGAACCTGTCACAATTTTGTTTACAAAACTAAAAGGCAATTTTCACGGAAACCCCTCTACCAATCTCTTCAAAACTATTTTTGAAGTTTGTTTAACCGTTGAACTATTTATTAGTCCAAAAATTTATTTTATCGATATGCCAGCACAGGCTGTGAGGGATTTTAATTATTGGAAGCACAAAGACTGATTCTTTCGATATATGCAACAAGTTCTTTGGCGCAAATTTTTCCTTTGCAAGAACGCTTAGTAGGAACTGCTTAAATTTTACCAAATTTTATGCTTATTTGCAATCGATTGGTGGCATCTCTATGCAAATAATTTTTCCCAATAAAAGTAAACATGTTCTTTTCTCTCTTTTCGAAAATATAAGTGTCTCAAGAGCGAGTTCTGTTTTTCCTGAAAATTTGCGTTTTTTAAGCCTCGTTTCACACATACCATGGCGACGAAGAAACAGATAAGAGGCTGGCTAGAAAATGGCGGACGTGCTTGAAAGTTCCGCTGTGGAGCGCGTGGTTAGAGCAATAGAAAAAATTCTTTCTGTAGATTCAAGTCAGCAAGAAAGGAAAGCTGCACATGAAGTAATGCTTATATCTTTTTTATTGTAAAGCCGAAATTCACATGCTGTTTATTTTCCAAATATAGTGTAGTTTTCATTTTCTGGGTAAATTTACACTTCATATTCTAGTCTGAAAAGTGATCACTATTTGCTTGAAGTTCGGGTAGTAATGTGTGCATGCCTGATAGCAGGAGTAATGTGGTCAGTCTGAAAAAGCTTGAACTTCTTCTACGTCTCTATCTTAACTATCCCAGTTACGTCGGGGTCAACACTTCATGAAATTCTAATAACAATAATAAATTTTTTATTTTTCACCTTTTGGCAAAACGTGAGTGAAGTAAAAACCTACAACGACAAGCAATTTCGAGGGACATTTACCTAGTGCTGTAAAACAGCCTGGACTAGCCCGGAGAATAGCCCTTATAAATGTTTACCAAATAAAAAGTAAGATTATTTAGAGAAGTAAGAATCAGTTGCCCATTTCCAGCCTTCTGAATTTGAAAAAAAACGTGCATTCGTTGGTAGTTATGAGTTATCATGGGAATAACTCTCTCCCCTTTTGTTTTTTACATGTTTTATACATTTACTGTTGGATGCTCATTTGAGTTTTTACCAAGCTATGCTAAAAGTAAGTAACTTGTTAATGGCCCAGACGCGGATCTAGACCGGTGGCACAGGTTTCAAAAACCGGTCAAATTTTAAGACCTATGTTTCTCTGTAAATCGTGAATTTTGATCTAAATTTCAATTGCAACAATTGCTGAATTTCTCTCTGACTGACTACAGTCGTTCTGCTTACATGCTAAATTGAACCCCCACAAGATTCCGACAGAATTCCCAGCTTCCCAATTCATCTTTTATCCCAAAGTATCAGAAGAATTCAAAATCAAGGAATTCAGTCACCACTCAAAGTGACAATTTGGAGTATGCTATCTATGCGCCAATATTGAAATGGGTGGCTATTATTTTCTGAAAACCTGTGAAAACCGGTGCCCATATGTTTCCCTAATGCGAAAAATACCGGTGACTAAAAAGCATATTTGATATCGATATCCATAGCTCAAAAGTGTGGATGCTTTAAAACAAAATTATACAAAATGAAATACAGATGCAAATAAGAATCTGAGGTTTCATATTGAGGGACAGGATTTTTTTTCTTGGAAAAAATTCGTGAAAATTAGAATTGAAGTTGCAAGAAGAGGATCAAAGGCCATGTTGAACGGAGTAAAATTGTGACAGTTTAGATAAAGTGTGGGCAAATTAATCACATTGAAAAGTTGCTAACCTCATTTGCAACTAATAGCAATATTTATGGACCAATAACACACAGGAGATATTTCCCAGTGTATATCTATTGTTTATTGTCATATGCAAGGTGTGAGCTTTGCTTGGGTTCCACCCTGTACATAGCTAAGGATTTGTTCTGTAAACTAATTTATTGTCTATTTTATGTTTTTGTTTATTGCATATCATTTAATTAGAAAAGTATCATTGCCAAAATATTTAAAAACATGAATCACTTGATAATGGGCTATGCTCGAAACATCGTTATTTATTTAAAAAAAAATTTTTCCTGGTACATTTTACTTACATTCATCTTTATTATGAATCAAACTAGTTGCCAACATGTTTAAATACAGTCAGGTCATCAAAACAGCATTTCTCACCTAGCTCATCAGAGGTCTAAATTTTCCAGTCCAAAATATGTTGAATCACCAGGTTTCTACAGTTCTTTAGTGTGTTATTTGAGAGTATCAGTGGAGGTTTTCTAAATGTTTTATTTGGGGAATTCTTAGATGTTATTCCATCAAAGTTGAAAATAAAGATACCTTTGTAGCATATTGCAGTCAACAAAAGGGTAATTTTTGTCATCTAAGTAAAATAAGATATATATTCACTATAGCTCATTGAATTTGTGAAGAAGGACTCCCCACATTCAGCTGCAATTGGACTTGCCTTGTATGGAAACGAGTTGCATGATATTCAAGTAAGACATGTTGGATTACAGTTTGTTGAAGACTACATCAAGTGAGCATCGAAGTTACTTTTTATTTGAAATTTGTTTGAAGCTACTGTTTTTTTCATTCTGTTACATTGGATTTGGTTTGATGTAAAACACTTTTTATATCATTAAGAGAAAATTTGAATATCATAGAAAACTAAGATTTCCAAGTTCAGATTTGTTTTTATTATTCAGACTATCATATACTCTGCCATTTTTAGATAATGAGACTAGCATTTTCTCTGCATTGCCAATTTTTTTATGGTTAATTCATATGGTATGGTAAAGAAAAGATGAACAAAAAGTTTAATGACAAATCAAAGAAAAACTTAGAAGCCAAACCTTATTCAAATCATTTAAAGCTTAATTTCTCAAAAGCACTCTCTAAGATTATGACAGGACATGATTATGAAGGGGGGATGTTTTTGTTCAAACTATGAACGGTTATAATTATCAAGCTGCCAAATTATTGGATTGTTGCTACAGTTTGGGAAATATGTTTTAATTTTCTTTTGCAGGCAAAGGTGGAACGCAATTTCTAAAGATGAAAAAGAAACGTGGAAGAAAGAAGCAATGTTCCTTATAGAAACTGTAAGCATTCTTTTAAACTGTTACGTCATAACTGCTTTTTGATAAATAAATTTGTAGCCACAGCTTTCAAGGGAAGATTTGATGATGATTTCAAGTGTCGAGACTATGCAAGTGTTAGCTGATTTTTCTTAAAATGGTACCACTCTTTAGTAAACCCAAGGAGGTGGGTAAACTTTAAGGCTCTTGTGATCTTTTGTTTCACTCTTCATCTGAAATTATAGCATTTCCTCTTTCATCTCTAGAAGTTTGATGTACTTAATTTGTAAAAAGACGATCTTCTTTGTTAATTGTAGTCACAAGAAGAACCATGAAACAATCCCCTTACAAGAAATTTTTGCTATTTCAGGCAAAGGTTAATGATGCAGGTCACATCAAAGAGGCAGTTGCAAGAGTTGTGGTAGAGGTTGCAAAAAGAGAGTTTCCTCAGAATTGGGAAAATTTTCTGCCACAGCTTGGAGAGCTCCAGACAAGAGGGGTATTTATAGACACAGTTCCTTTTTTAATTTAAATTTGGGCAAATGTATAACATTGATAATTGACTTTTATCTTGTTAAAATGATCTATTCTATGAACGTTGCCGTTGCCTGTTATCACGTTCTGCAGTATTATCACATTATCAGATTTGAGCTTTGCATATCCCTCTGCAATAGAACCTGTTTTTGCATCCATCTCTTTGAATCCATCGAACTATATATCCTCTCTCTCTTTCGCAATTTCGTCACTTTTCTTGTGAAAATATCATTTTAGATTAAAATATAGTGACTTCAATTCTATCTTTTCCTGGTTTTCAAACACGAAACTGGACGTTAAAACTTTTTGCGTTTGAATCATTAGATCATCATTCAATCTTGTATATAGTTTTTGTCATAATCGTCATCACGTTGTTCGTTCATTTAATTGATTTTGCAAAGCATTCTTGCAGCATGTTCAATTGGAGCTGACTCTGTTGGTCTTCCTACGGCTTGGTGAAGATGTGATTCTTACACTGGACCCTCACCTGCATGCCCAGCGGAGGAGGAACATTGAACAAGCCCTTAGCGAACGCATGCCCGAACTTTTCACCCTTTTCATTAATACGCTGCAAGAACATGTAGGGACATGGAGAAAGAATGTAAGGATTAAATTTTCACCACTTTTGAGTTGGACTTTTTGCACTTTCTTATGTTTTCTGTGCTTTATTCTCAAAAAGTTTAAGACATGGCAAGGTCTAAGTAAAAACATTTTTATATTTTTGGTTGATACTCACGCAGCTCTACTAGAATGTATAGGTATCATAGATTTGTAGACACTGTTGTAATATTCTGAAATTATAATGCAAGGTCTGTTATTTGCAACTTTTCTGTGATCAGTATTGGTTGGTTGTTTGTTTTCACTTGCCATGTAAGTAATAAAAATAAAGGTCCAACAAGAAGTGGTTCCATTAATGTGCTTGTTTACGAGAACCCTTACTTGTTTTTCAACAGCGGGAGGCAATGAGTCTACGCATAGCTGAAGCAACCTTGTTCACTTTGTCTGTCTACTTAACCCATGCTGCCATCGAACATATTTTCGCAAGCAATGCTGTGCTGCTTCAGATACTTTGTCAACTGCTCGACATGGAGGAGCTGAGAATGGCGGCAGCTGATTGCTTATTGGTATTGGTTGAAAGGAGACGGGTATTTATCGAACCATGCTCATTTTCACGTGTTAAAGCCTGAAATGCTTGCCAAATTTGCCAAATGTCTTGGAACACAAACAGCATTTTTGCTATTCTGAGTAGCCGTCTCCCTTGTCCTCTTTTCAAACAGAGTTTGATTGTTCTTCATAGAAATAAACTGCTCGAACCCTAACATGTATGTTAGAAAGTAAATGGCCGATTTCAAACATTGTTTCGGGAAGAAAGTAGGCAACTCAGCTATTTCTATAAGCGTGGATTGAAAAGAGATCGAAAATTTACTGAAATTGTTTAGCTGTTTCAAGTACTTATGGCAACCATTTCATCTACTAGGAAACTTAGCTTAGCTTATTAAAAAATTTGATCTTACATAGGGCCAAAAGTTTAATTTCCCTTTACAAAGAAAATGTGAAAAGATACTTTTGCCATACCTTAAACATACTAATGATGAAAAACGAAATATAGGATCAAAAAGCATCTGTTTTGGATTCTACGTTAATGACATTTTTTAACTGGTTATTGTATTATTCACAATAACGTAATTTTATTAAACATTTTTAAAATATTTTTATTCATGTATGGTGAATTTTCCAAAACGGTTGTAGCGTGAACAAAACCATAGTTTTTAATGTTTATACGGTTACATCTTCTTTCTTTGATATAGTTCCGTCCGAAGTTTTACAAAGAAATAGGCCAGACTTGCTTGGAGATTTTTTTTCATGCAAAAATTAATTGTTTAGCAGTTGCTTTGTCGATTTTCGTTTATTAAGAAGTAAAGGTGGAACAAAGTGCTACTTTACAGATTTGTTTTAATTCTTTATTGCAGGACCGAGTTGAGTATCGCAAGCCAATGCTAATACTGTTTTCTGATGATGCAATGAATCTTTTTGTTGAAGTTGCAAGGTTCGTGTAGAATATTTACCTCCTTTTTAGACATCCAATGTCGTAATGAGAAAGATGGTTCACTTCATTGGCGTGTATAAAATTTCTACATTGAGACCTTGATGGAATTTTCTAGCTGACCTTTTCTTCAAAGACCTTTTTTCAAAGCCTTTTATTGTTTCTATTTTGGTTAATGACCTCGAAGAACGCTTTCTTTCTTTTTATTAAGGAAAGCCTGTCTTGCTGGTGCTGAAGAAGAAGGCTACAATTTTCTCAAAAAAATATGTGACGTCATCGTAGGCCTTGGGACCTGTCAGCTGGCCGACATATGGGTGAGTCCGTCTTTTAGACACGTTCGTACTGTAACATAACAATGGTTAAAGTGAATATTTCATTTGTGCTTTGTTGCTGGTTTTGCTTGCTCTTAGTGCAATGACTTTGAAGGACATCAGTAGCCACGGGCTCCCACATATAGAAATTTTCTTAGAATGCCTATTTTTGCCCTACTCTGTTTTCTCTAAACATTTCCTGCCAGAGGATATGAGAATGTGCATCGGCAATACATGAAACATATCTATAGCATGTAACCCAATTAACTGGTAATTTCTGCGCGTCTGTTTTTGAAGAAAATGAACCACTTTCAAAGCATTCAACCAATCAAAAATTTCACCAGTCCCAGCTTCAATGTAATTTTTACTTCCTTTGGAAGGCAAATACATTTTGTCCAGACGTTTTTCTTACATATCACAAGTTGAACTGTTTACAAAGCAATTTATGAATTCAAAATTTTTATGGTGTTTTATGTAGAAGGCAGATTACCTTTACATTTCTTTTTCAAGAATTTAATAGAAGTAATTTCATCATCTGAGCCTACAGAAGAGTATTGCTAAAGCCTTCTGTTGATCTCTTTCGAACACCGCCAAAATCTTTCAGGGACACGACAGAGGCATTACGGAACGGCCAGATACATTTGCAAAGTATTTAAAACTCATTATAGATATGGTCAACCACCCTAGCCAGGTAAATGCTAAAATAATTTGCTTTTAAATGTCTTGTAATCTTTGTGCTGATGAATGAGGGCTATTTGTCAAACATTGTTTTAGCTGGTACAAAGAGTGATTGCGGGGTTTGTATGAGATGTACAGAAAACAAAAATTTTTGTCAAGAAGAGCTAAAAAAATTTTCAATGCTACTATCTATTACCTAAAAAGCATACCATTTTACTAGATGACACTAACTTTTTGCTACCAGCTAGAAGACCAACAAATTGCTCTTGAGGTTTTGTATCTTTTATGTTTATTTATGTTTATTATCCACAGTTTCCTTTCCTTTAATTGATCGGAGAATATCAATGAACTTTCCTTTTGTTAGAAACTTAAATGATCAAGGAAACTGTGGACCAATTTTTAAAGCCAACAGTGACTTTATGCTTTCAATCACTAAAAGATATTTCTTTTTTAGATTAAACTGAATTAAACGCTTAATAAATATCACTTTGACATTGAATTATTGTATTTCATTAGATAATTGGAGTATTTCTAAATAAACCAAGAGTTCGATGTTTTTCCTTGTCTCCGGTAGGTCATTTGTCATAAAGCATGTTCCGTGTGCACAACATTCTTCAAACATGAACGAATCTCTGCTGATGAAACCTTCATAGAATCTATACCTTTCTTCATTCCAGCTTTCAGCGAGAAACTGCCAAAGGTATTTACCTCTATGTTTTTTGCTGTTTATTTTCAATCATTTTGATGTTAGCAGAAATTTTGACCATATATGCATAACACAAGTCTATTGTGATGTATTTGCCATTTCTAAAATGCTGTGTTTTCACACTGTAGTCAGTGTTACTCTTCTAGTCATCCTTCATGTTTCTTTCCTTTTAAATGAGGTTTTGGATGATGTAAAGCATGAAGGCCCGTTTAGGGCCAGATTTGGCAAAATATGAGATAGATTTTAGACGCGTTTTATCATTTTTAGTTCATGATATTTTCATTTACCCCTTTTTGCCTCGGCACTTTGGCTTTTTACCCCCAGCACCCCTCTCTCTCGACAGGTAGTAGTTTAGAGAACCTTGTAAGAATGCTTCATAGAAAACCTTTTTGCTAACCAGTTCCTGGAATAATAGAAGATAAATGCCTTTTAAAGATACACAATTTCTTTGGCTATAGAAAGGGGACAAAAGTTATGAGGTAAAAGGAAATTCAAAACTGCGTTTAAAATCTATATCATTTTGACCACCAACCATTGTCCTCTGCACTGATATTTGGTATCTGTTCTGTAATGCCTAAGATATTGTATTCTATTCTCCAAGCTTTCCTTTCATTTAAAGCTGCGTTTTTTAGTTTGGTGGCCTCGATGATGACAATCATCCTTGCTGCAAGTTCTCGGTGATTGATCATGACTCTACCAACGAGTTCATGGAGTTTTATGCAAGTACGTCATAATCTATTTTGTGTTGAGTACGTCATAATTCAGTTATAATCTATTTTGTGTTGAGTACAAACTTTCAGATTACAAACAAATTTATTACTTACAAAGGAATGTAAAAAAAATCAAAGAAATCTTTGGGATTAAAAACTACAGTCAAGCCTGGATTTTAACTAAGGTGGTTAAAAAGACGATTCATTTTTCATAGATTTGTTTGGAATTTAGTTTTGCTCGTGAAAACACGCCATATGTAGCCGCACTCATTCTCTTGCAGCTATTGGTCACCAGTTTGCCAACTGAAATTCAGCATAGATTTTCGATTATTTTAGTGACAGTTAAAAAACCATTGTCTTTCACGAGCTGGGCTGGCTGATCGGCGTTTTAGAATTATTATCACTAGTAGCTCTTAGATTTTTTATAAAGTTACAATTTTGAATTCACAGACCATGATTGTGTCATCCCTCCATTGTGTTAATCTTGATTATTATACATTTACCGCCAGAATTACGCTGGTCACTCACAAGTAATCTGAAGGAGTGCACAAGTCTTTTTCCTGTTCATGCTTTTGAGCACGCTTGTCGAAAAGTGATGGAAGCGATTCAAAAGCCAGTTGATTTACAAGGTACACGAAATCTTTTACTTTTCATCTTAATCTCATATTTTGTGGTATTTAAGAAGGATAATTTTATTCATTGCACAAAACTTTTATACCGCCAAGGAAGTGGGCTGGTGTTTGTACAGCACATTTTTAAAGTAGTCTAATAGGGCTTCAGTAAAATGTTTTTGCTTACGGGAGTCTTTAGAAACACAATCTCTAGAAAAATGTCCACATTTTAAAAAAAATTGGTATATTCAAGTTTTAGCTCTTTTTTTACGATCGATGTTTGCAACGCCTCTTCCATTCTGCAAAATCAACACAAGAAGGCGCATTTCAGCTACTTGTTTGTGTTATCGTTATGTTGTGTTTGTAACTCAGGGAAAGTATGCATCGCTGTCTTCGTGTTATGTGATGTTTCGCAATGTTTCTTTGTTTTCGTGTCAAAAATGGTAGAATAATTTATTTCCAATGTTTTGATCAATAGATTAGGCATTAGCTGAAGAAGCCTTGATAGTGTCCTACAAATGGTCCGTCCTAAGAAGAATCAATAATCGTACAATAGCAATAGTGACTTAACTTCTAGAATAATAACCAAATTTTTTATAAAATTTCTTTAAAATGTGAGCAACTTTATGAAATTATCAATAAAAAATTTACCTTTGTGGGCTTGATTTTGGCATTAGTCAATACTTGGAATGCAGTCTTCAATTCGATTCTGTTTTTAGACTGTGTTCTTTGGGAGGCATTGTCCACACTTTTGGATGCAATACTGTCTCGTTTCTGGAGGACAAAACAGGTAAACATTCTGCTCCTGGTAGTTTATTCTTGCTTTTGAAGCTTTCTTTTTCATGGCAACTTTGAGGATATTCCTTGTATGAAATGGATGCCAGTAAGTTTTACAAGATTACTGGAAGCAGTCAAGCAGGAGACTTTCCAGTTAAGAAGATTTCTCGCCTGTAAGGAAATCTTTACTGTCTTCAGACCATACTCAGATTTATTTGGGGAGAACACCCTGTACAAACCCTTATTTAAACCAATTAAACAATGTTCTGTAGGGGGTCATTTCATAGTTTTTCAAATGCTTTTTATCCAAAATGAAATAAGGCCTCTGGGAACAAGTTTGGCCTCATCTTTGGCATCGTATTCTACGCAGGCACTTATTGAAAAGCTTTAAATTTCCACCGCACCTATGTTTATTAAATCTATTGCCATAAAAGCTATTGCCTTGCTTGTTCTTTTGATCAAATCCAATTTATTTTAGTTTGAAGAAGCAATAGAGGTAATGGTAGAGCGCGAGAAAAACATCAACGTCGTTGCAGTGGCAAACGACATTTTGTTGTCGCTTATTCAGTTCCAGCCAAGTGTAAGTGAATTTGCAGTTTGACTTTCAACTAGTTGCCTCTACATCTGACTTTTTAATTTCTTCAAAACATTTAACATCCAGTGTCACATCACAGTTTAATGGCTTTATGGCAAATGGTTCTTCAACACGGCAAGTAGTTTAACAGAATAACTTTCTTTTTTGTCGTACCCCATTGTTTCCTTATATTCCCTTGTAACGCATGTTCCTGCATGAGTTATTGTTTTAAGACCAACTCAAATAGAAAAGTTTGCTCCTAGAGCTAAACCTTTATATTGCAAAGTATGGTCTAACGTTTATTTCGATTCTTGAAAGAGTTTTCTTAAATGAACAAGCCCATCATCATGGCAAAAACTGTTTAGTAAAGTATTCCTATTACAATTGCTAGTCTGAACCATTTCCAATCTTTTTTAGGTGCCTCAAATTGTGTCAAACGTTCTTCTATGTATACAAGCGTTCTTCCCATTTTTTAAAAAATCGCAGGTCCACCTGACAGCAACACTAGAAAAGGTAACCTGAGATTTAATATACTAACTATATGTTATACTTATTGTTCTAACTATATTTCTTTATTACCTTGGATTCTAAAAAACCAGTTCATCTTTCTGTGTTATATCTTCGCTGATCACATGCCAATATATTAATCTTCGATATTTTACTTTTTAGATAATGCTCACATTCAACAAATTTCCTTTAGAGGATTCAAACAAAGACGTCATAGCAGTTCGACGCCAAGCTACATGTTCTTTTATCAATTTATGTAAACAGGACTCCGATCATTTATTGGCAAGTCTGATTATTATCTCAAAAGTATTTCATCTCCTTGTAGATAGTAGATTATATAAAACATTTGCCTGCACTATTAGCATACTAAAAGGACTCTTAGTCAAAAGGAATGAAAACTTTTCTTACAACAGTCTAGATGAAAACTCTCAACGCGATTGAGGAGAATTTGACGACGATGAATTAAAAAGACTTTTCACGGTAAAGAAGAAGACTCCACTGTGTGATTATGTTTTCAAATAACCCCCTTTCGGATCTCCTCGTTATTCATTTATGGTCTTGCCTAAGTGTGTTTTTCATCCCTTCTTGCTTTCATGCAAACTTCAAATAGATCTAGAAACACAGGTGCTACAAATTGTGATCAAATTGTGTAATATATATCATGTGAGCTGTTCCTTGATTTATGTAAAGGGCCCTTTTAAAAGATTGCGTTAGAATGAAATCTATCAATATCACTCCCAGAGTAACAATTTATTTCATGACTTCGTTTTGGTATACAATCAGCGTTACAACATGATGCCTGTTTTTTCTACGTCCTTAGTTCTACTGCAAATTTTTTATACTATTTTTATCAAATTTCGATTCCTCTTTTCTCATAGCCGTTCTTCGAATCATTTCATCAATTCGTATCGAAGCTTGAACAAGATGGTGTAGTGATTGTGGAAGAAACCAACACACTAACAGAAGGCCTTTTAGTTCTCAAGTTAGTTAAAGGCTTATAAATCTGTTGAAAAATTTAGCAAAGAACAGTTTTTTCGTATAGAGCTAATTTTGAAACGAAAGTCCCAGCGGCTATACGTTGAGCTGATAATGAACATAAAGCTTTTAAGGTCTTTTTTATGTCCTACTTGAAAATCATGTTGTAGTTGCTGATTCTTCAGATAGTTTTCTTAGGGAAACCCACCCTTAATCGTTATTTATCTCTCGTTTCTTTATGATGATATAAAAGGTATTAAGATATACAAGGTTCTCTTGTTAATGAAGGCTTTCTCTTTTTTCAGTAATGGTATGGCAACTGAAAAACGTCACCAGTACTTGTCTTTGCAAGTTTCAAAGCTAGATGAAATTATAAACGCTGCAGATTTTAAATTGTAAGCTTTTTGTTGTATTCAAAAGCACCAGCTATAAAGTTTTTATAACTATTTGATACAGAAAAATGTAGACATTTTGTTTATGTTAAGCAATAACTTGTACAGGATAGGTCTGTTTGCATTATTCAGATCTGCACTAGAATCAGGTAAGAGTCACGCCAAATGTTGCCAGCAAAGTTGTCCATTGAATGTAGAGGGTGGATTTAGACTAGATTTATTGAATAGTTTTCCACGGTTCGGTCCACAATTAAATGATAGAAACATATGTTGTGATTTTTAGTGTAGAATTAAGAGACTGTGACTCTGTACGAACCTTGTGAAAAAACATTTCCGAAATCTGGGAATTTTTTAATTCAATGAATGATTAATGTTGAATCGTTCTTAAACTTACGTGTAAATTCTTTTTTAGATCTTTGGAATCAACAGAAAACTTCGTGAAATATATTGGGCTGAGTGAATCACCGTGGGATAAAGGTAATTTTCTCTTTAAAATGCTGCTTTTTCAAACGCTTTTTTAAGTAAGCTTAGTTCAATTGGTATTTTACGATATTTAAGTCAAGACTTTAAAAAATAAGTTATTATTCTGTATAGATATAAGGCTCTTATTGTCTCTCAAGAAGTGATAGCTTTCTAAAAATATTCTCGAACTGCACGAAATATTTCTTATCTCTATTTTATAACTAAGCAATGAAGTTCATCTCCATTAAAAACAATCAAAACCTCAAAAAGCAATTATATTTGGAGGCAGTTTTTCTGGAAGGTGGCGTTTATTAACAAGAAACTTTGCAAAAGATCAAGCAACGGCAATGTAGAGGCTGTTCTTGGGGTTTATTCTATCGGCTTTAGACCTGATTCAAGCAACCTTGCCAGAAACATTAATTTAACTTTCATAAGGGCACACTGAAACTTAATTTAACTTTTTTTCAACCTGTTTCGGCCCAACCGGCCCGGCCAAGGAAAGTGACATTGAAAGTAAGGCAGCCATGTAAAAAAGGTTGCATGTTGTTGTTGTTGATGAACTTACTTGTCTATTCTTTTTTTTAGCTGACTGTGCAGGACATCGTCGAGGGGTAAGTTCTCAGTGACATAGACGAAATCGAAAAACTGACTTTTTGCTGTATGTTAATTTAAGTTTAATTTCTTTATACTAAACATTTGTGAAGTCCCAGCTTTTTGGCATGATTTTAATGTCATAAATCAAAGGCTTCGTGGATTAATATTTCTGTTGTTATAGTCGAACAATGACATGATGTACGACGTGTAATTCTTAACCATGTGGATATAAATTTAAAAAATCTAAAAGTATAATTCTAAAAACGGAACTTTTTGACAACATCACTTCAGAACTCTATGGAACGAGCAAAAATCTAAAGCCATTGCCAAAAATATGAAACATCTGATCGTGAAGAATAAATCGCATACTTGTGGATGATACAAGACTGACTGGTTGTGTCAGGCTGTGATCAAAACATCTGATCGTTAAATCGACTGTTTACTAAGTTTATCAAAACAATGCTAGTGGCCAATATTTTCCCCTTCGTTTAAATTCATCCGTGTACTGAATGCCATTGTGTACCAATGTTTTTTTCATTCTTTCCATTCATAATTTCTTCCCTTCAATAAGCTTAAGTCACAACTTTTTGAAGACTAATCTTTGGTGCACGGAAATGAATATTAATTTCAAAAGTAACTTTGAGAAAGGCAAACATTTTTAGCTTTTATATGCCTTACAATATGTGCTTTTTCAACGCCAAAATATTGTCCGCAAATATTAGTTGTATTTTTATCTTATTCCATATTGTCCGGGACTGGAATAAACTGCTTTTTTATTACCAAGCTTCCCGGTGACCGATATCGGTTCAGGGGTGGGCACAAGAATTAACCTAAACTAATTCTATAATGTAAATATCTAAACTGAAATTTTTCATTTTCTCTCTTTTTCTACAATCTTATGTGCAATCAATCTTATTTTCTACAATCAAATCTTTTTACAACTCTGTTTTGTTTTAGTTGCTCAAATTCATAAACTTGTTTTTGGCGATAATACGTAGAAGTCAGCTAACGGAAGCTGAAAAGGTATTTACGCTTTGAAATTGCAACGATTTTTCTTCGGACATTCTCAAGATGTGATACTGGTGGAAAACATGTTGCTGATACTTGCTCAGTAATTACCTGATAGGCGAGAAGACAAATTTTACGAATTAACCTTTAATTTATATTTGCAAGATAACTGACCCAACTTTTCAAATAGTCTTCTCAGTCAGACAAGGACTATCCAAGCTTCTTTAAACGAGATAGTGTTTTTAAGCTGACCTTTTATCATCTCCAATTAAGAATGCGTTTACGCTTGATAAGCTGGTGGTAATAAAGAATAAAAAAGTTTTCGCCCGTAACATTAAAAAATGTACTGTGCAAAATTATAAAAAGTTGGCTCTTGCCAAAGCATTGAAATTTCAATTTTTGTTGAGGGAAGGACAGATAGATTTTGAATTATACGTGCATCCAGCGAGAATTTGTATGTGCGTTTGTATCAACAGCTTTTTCCAGCAGTACTGAATCATCCAAGTGCAAAGAAAAATTCTTATACCGTGTGACCAGTTTAACACATGTGGTTTCTATTTCCGCTTTTTCGTAGGTTGCTATCTCACCTAATCAAGGATTCTTCGGAAATTCGACTGGATTCTCGTGGCTGCAAAAATCCATTGATTATCTTCCGCAGATAACACAAATTGTAAAGTATGTTGCAACTGCACCGCTACTTAGGAGTAAATTTTCAGTCAAAATTTTAGCTTTTGGCTGTGAGCATATTTGAAATTTTGTGCTCTTTTAATAATATGTTTTTTTTAATCTTGATAGTAGGGTAGGGACTGTTACTTTTCGGTATCTCAAACAGTAAAAATCCGCATATTAGAACCTTACATTTTGAAATCACCCTGTTTAGGTTCTTATGCATATGATACTGTTCTTGAAAACTTGATACAAAGTTCTTAAATAGGTTTTTATCATAAGAATTAATAACAGATCTTCGGAAATTTAGGCCAAATTCAATAAAACAAGATTTTCACTGACTTACTATCATCACACAATTTTATAAAGCACAATGTACACACATTTAGCTTTTAAAGATTAGTACACACTTTGTAAAATATATTTCTTTTAGATATCAAAATGTGTAGTTATCGAGTTCTTTAGGTTTGATATTTTAATCAGATGATCAAGCATCATTTGCTGTCATCAAGCACCTAGTTTTCTCAAAGAGTTTTGTGAACAAAGCATGATTTTCTTTTAGTTCTCTCCATGCCTCATCAATCAATTTAATCAAAAAATGCCATCGAAACATCAGAATAAGTTCTTGGAAACTGGTAGCAAAATAAGCGTTCCTAAAGTTTGTCCGAATAGCATACTTTGTGATTACGTCACGCATTTTTAAAAATTCAAATGTACATCTCGATTGTTTTTTAGACACACTGGTATGCTCTGGAGACCTGAAATCCAAAGTGTCATACATAAAGATTATGCTGAGGCATTTAAACTCCATGATAACGATCGGGTGTTCTTGTTAGGTTTGTTGAATAGATTTGACTCATATTCATGCAAAACTTATTTTTCTTGATAGTACAGACTATTTTCAGATGGACAATGTTTGGAAAATGTTAAATAGACTGTGCCACTAATCTTCTAGTAACCAAGCTAGTTGATGTTACGAGATCTAGGAGATTGTGAGAATCTCATATCAGTGTAGCCTACTCACACATAAGTATTATGACGCAATGATATAAAATGGAGCTGTTGTTTGCCACGAAATACGAAACATGTCGATGTTTTTGGCAAAGTTAAAGTTTACCAACAGTTTCCCTCTTTTCTTTAGAAAAATCATGATGGATACGATTCACATAGTCTAAATTTGCACAAATCTCTTTCTCTCGACGTTATAGAAATCTTTTCAACAACGTTGTCCTGGAGATAGGTTTACCTGGGTTTGCAAAGGAATTACTTAGGGCTTGGTTTTAAAATGTTCCAGTACAGAGGAAGACCATAGCTGTGTTCATGTAAAGGTGCTTTTTTATAAATCTAAGAAACCTGTGCTTCGCAAGGTCTAGATGAAAGTAAATTCAAAGATTTTATGTCGGAGAATTATTCATTTACACTTGCTATTTCTATCATCAATTGAATAATACTAAGAGTGTGGGATTTCTTATGTTTGCGACCATTCTACCCCAGGAAAGTTTTGTTAATTTGAAAAGTTTTAAAGAAATGTTATTAGATGCTTTTAAATTTATTTTTCTCCTCCATCTCCAAACAGGTCAGCACGTGGCCAAGGAAAAAAAAGATGCACAAAGTTGTTCATCTTCTGTAGTTACAAAAGCATCTACTTTTCTGTATATGCTCCACAATCAAAGGTATGAATGCATTCTTATTTTCAACATGCAAGGCTTACCAATATTGGCACTATGCAAATCTTTATTTCCATATACATAATTGCCTCCGCCAACTCTTTCTTTGTCAATGCTAGTACTAAATTTGTTGGTATTCGATTTTTATGAAATATTGACTTCTTGCCGAAAAATGTTTGATTGTGTTTCTGACAAAAAGTTTTCACCAGGTATCTCGGCCTTAACGAGAGAGAGCATGAGCTTTTCTGTCCTTGGTTTTCCAATTTGTAAACTGTGATATCACTGCCAAATTAAAACCTCTTATTGATGTTGGGACTTCTAATTTTTTATCTCATTCCCTTCATCTAATTTTTAGTTACACGCTTTTGGGAAACATTGGTAGCTTTTTCCAAGATCACTTCTACAAATATGGTGGTTTAGCAAATCTAATTGTCAATGATATCATGCAGACTTGGGTATACATTCCAAAGTATAGATTTATAACAGTTTTCAGTATCCTTTTCTTTCTATATCTGGACAGACTGTGCTCCCATTTATCTGTCATTGTGATGTTATGAGAATCATTTTGTTGGTGTTGTAATCATGGTGATATTTTTTGATAAGATGCCAAAATTTCTTGTTTAATTTATTCGTTTTTGTATTTTTGATAAATGACAATCCCCTTTATACGTGTACCTTAACTTTAACCAGAATTCTTTTTAAAGCCATTTTTGTCACATTGCCCTCCATCCTGCTATTCCATAGCGGCAGAACAAGTAATGTCTGTTGCTCTACAAAGTATGCTTCAGGTAACTCGCTTTACTTGTTAAAATCTATTTACATATAATATCAAACTGTTTGGCGTTTGATTCTAGAATAACTACATTAACCAATCAACTGGTTGAACCGGATTAGCTGGATTAACTGGTTAAACCGGTTAGGCTGGATTAACTGATGAGAAACATAGTCAAATGTAGTCACCTAGCCACTGGCAGAAAAGAAGATTTATTACAGTAAAATTAACTATACTAGCTCTTTATATATAATTTATACTTGAAACGAGAAAGTGCCTTAAAACATTTCACAATGCTAAATGAAGGCTGGGGATTTTATAGAATTCGAAGCGATTAACCTTTTTTCGTTCTGACACCTTTTCGATGTTTTCAAACCTGTCAAATCTCTTGTAAAATTGTCGATTAATTACCTATATTTAGCTTTGTTTTTTGCTGTGTTTGTAGTTTTTGTCTAAAGAATGGTCAGAGTTTCATCAAAAAACAACCCAAAGGTTTGTCAATTCCAGATTGCTTACATTTACGATACAAAATCGATGCTCTACCACAGACAGTGAATGAATCGATTCGAAAATGTCATGATTTCTTAATATTCCAAACATTACATTGACGTTATCTAGTCAAAAACCAAACTTCCGTTTACTATGCTTGGTGCATTTGTAACCTACTGTTTGAATTTCCCTCTTGTATATTTTATAAACTTCTTAAGAGCAGGACAACTGACACTAATGTACTGGCCTCCCGATATCGTTTTTATCTGCTCGAGTTTTTTGTGTGACGTCAACATATCTTGTCTTGTAGTGGAACTTTTCGCAGTTCTGAAGACCAGGATGAGACACCGAATGATCAAGTGATAGAAGAACGGCTCATTTATTCACTTAGTCGAGAATATATTGAAACCCTTGGTTAGTTCCTCTGCAGCTATACTGTTCCTACATTTGTTATATACTACCTTTTCCAGCCTCACCGGTTACCAAACATAACATATTCGGACCCAATCTGCGTCATTAGTCTTATCAGAGATTCCTTGTGACTTCAGCCGTAACTTTAAGTCATAAATTTGAATCTAAAACGCCGAGGTTTTTAAGTAGATTAAATGCGAATTATTTTTGAGATCTTCAGGAAAGCAATGTTGCGTTGCATTAAACTTGATTTGGAATGGATGCAAGTATCATTCAGATAAAGAAATATTTCATACTGCCTAAATTAAGAAAAGTGGCCAAAATCTCCCCCTTCATAACTGTCTAATTTTCTTTTGCCCACTTCGCAAAAATCTCAATACCTATGTAAGTTATGCCCACACTGTGTAAGTTTTCTGACCTTTCTTGTTCCTGCTTCCTGAAACTCTTCATCACAAATTTGCTTCTTCTCTATCTTCAATATATCTTTTCTCTTCTTTGTTTATTCGGATCTTTCCTATATGTCTAAGCGTATTTTTTATCAGCAAGAGGAGCTGCTGTAAAAATGTACCTGAAAAAGATGAAAAAGTCTTTATTCGCTATTTACTACAACCAAGAAAAGCCCCTTGGACTTACTTTCTTCTTTGCTGTTTTTAACCAATCATGATTTGTTAAAGGTTTGCTGCTAGTACGGTTTGTAGCATGGTAATCTTTCCTGCACTGGTAATACGGCCCGATCTTAGATTTCCATGAGTATAAAATAATGTTTTCTGCCCAAGAGGTAAACACAAATTATCAGAGGTGCCATTTTAGACCAATAGGCTATTCAAAGTTAGCATTTCTAGCTAGGACATTGGCATCATTTGACCAGAGATTTTCAAGTTGTTTGCCACTCCCCGTGCATTTGTACAAGCATATCTCCTTGTTATTCAGTTTTTCGTTGTTTGTCTTGCTAAAAACAATAAAGCTTCCATTTTCTGACAGAATTACGTTTCCATTGAAATCTAGCAACAATATGAATGCATCTTCCCCTTTAATAGCTTTTGTATGCACGATACCTAGAAAACTTTTTTGGAATGCAATTCAACTATGCCCATTGGCATGACTCTATTCTGTATTGACCTTTGTAAATGTAAATTTGCAATGATACTTACTTGAGGTTGGAACAATTTTGTCACGAAATATTCGCAATAATCACTAAGGCTTTTTCAGCCAAAATTTTCTGTTTTATGTATTAGTCATATTTTTATTTATAGTTAAACATGAGCTAATCTAAAACTACGATTATTTCATAATCACTCAAATTTTCACTAATTAATCAACTGGAATATCTCTATTTCAATCCTGAGCAGGTTGTCATTATTTGCCAGCTTTATTCTATATCATGATTTTTGTCGCATCTATACTTCTTTGTGCATCTGTAATTCTTGCCAAAAGTCTTGTTACACCAAGCTAAAATTTCGCATAACTTCAGTAGCATCCCCCTCTCCCCCTTGAAACAATGTTGAATAACAACAGTTTCAAAGCTTGAAATTCATCCAATGTTACTTTATCAGCTAGGGTAAATAATAGGCTTTTCAACCAACATTCTTGTTGGCAGGAGGGGGGATATTTCTGTACCTTACAGCCGGAAACCTTTATTTCTTCAAAATCTTTCATTGGTCACAGAGTGTTCCAAGGACTTTTGTCAAGGATTGTGTTTTGTGTAATGGTGACTTTTAATGCCAATTATGTTCGAGTTAGTTTATTCTCGCCGACTAATGCAGTAATTGCTTTCTTATAACTTATTAATTGAGTCTTTATCTTATCATTAGCATCTAATTATCATATTTGTTTCTTTTTTATCAAGTTTCACTTTTCTTTGCAAAGAACAAAGATAAAGAGACAGGTGCTAACGATGAAGGTAGCATTTCTCATTTTTCTTGATAAAATATCCTTTCCGAAGTAAGCAATTAATTAAGTGGTATCGATTCGATAATTTTAATCCAACCGCATGCATTTCTAACATAAACATGCTAGTTGACAATTTAGCGTTGTGGAGTACCATTCTTAAATTATTCTTGTAATTTAATCCTATAGGATTTAATATTCTGTAGAACGTTAACCTGAAATTGTTCAGTGAAAACATCACTCGCAGGCAATGCCTCGTTAAAACGAACGCTATAATCAAGAAAAATGGCGGTTTGCAGTAGGCACCTAGTAACAGCGGTCCATCAATATGCATGATATGACTCAACATTTGATTTCGATAGAAATATGTATATTTGTAATGTTTTCTGAAGAGTTGAATAAAGTTTTGCCAAGTTATTGACAATTTACATTGATTCATGTCTAGTTTAATAAGTCAGTCTTTTGGTATCCAATTGTACTCAAATTAACTCTTATGTACTCCAATTAAACTTAATCCTTAAATTTAAGGTAAGACTAAATTCTGATTGATAAGTACAACAGACAGGAATCTTTACCCTAGCAGTCGTCCAAAATTCTTCCAATGAAAAGTTTCTAGGTTTAATGATTTTTTCATAAGAGTTCTCTAGAATCTTTTTCAGTCAAAAATTTCGGAAAATGAGGACTAATACTTCTGAGAAAATTTTCTCCCGATTCTTCAGCTTAAGTTATAATAATAGTGATAATTTAGTTATCTATAGTTGATGCAAGCAATAGTTTTAAAGAGTTATAAAGTATTAAATAACTATTATCTACAATGCAAAGTAAAGATATATACGTAATAACAGACTGGTAAACAGTGTTACTCAGTAGTATAAAATGTGAATTTATACATGATCAATAGATGCATCATCCGCAGATGTTCTAAATATTTCATTTTCAGTTCTTAACCATATTTTTGAATTGCTTTGTGTTCTGAGCACTTTTGATCTTGCCTGATACCGCGTTCTATAAAATGTTTTCTCTAAATGATAATGAATTTTCCCCATAAACTAACGTATCGGTTTCAAAGAGGTGCAGGAGGTTACTTGTTCGTAGGTAATATTGAATATGCTGTGGTTTGAAGAACTCAAACATGAAGGAGGAGCATTCGGCTGCCTTCATGGTTGTTCACTGAAAACCTGCAGGTTTAGCTCAAGATTGGAGCAAGCTGCAGCTCGATCCTTCTCAGCCATTCTAGCTTATGTTTTGCGATAGATTATCACCCACTGCTAAGAAATTACTTCTTAATTTGAATTATCAGACATATGAACAGGTTTTTTATCGCAAACGATTGGAAAGTTGATGCTTTGAATGTGGGAACTCTAGAAACTGAGTAGAGGCTAGGTGGAAACACTGTAGGAACTGGCCACAAATGGCGAACCGGTTAGCAACTATGGTAAAAATTTTATCGTCTGTAACATAATAAAGCACCTTCATCAAAAGTTAATAAGTCGTTAACAGTGAAGTTTGGCAATCTAACGAAAGGCTTCCTACCCAATCGATATTTTTAGGTGCTGCTTGTGAATCTTCACGGCTGTTTTATTCTTTAATTTCATGTCTAAAAACAATTCATGTTTTTTACATAGATTCATCACAGCCGGAACCAGGTGATCTCGGAAAATTTCTACTTCAGTGTGAGGTTTGCAGTTATTCCATAGTTTCTTTTTTCTTTGAGAAACATTTTGCGAAGGATATCACTTATGAGTTTTAGTTGAATTTCTGTATGGTGTATACCATTGCATTTTAGCTTTTATGTTGCTCTTTGGTTGGAATTTTGAGTCATCCGAATGCGGCAATTTTTTATTGTTGCCAATCATTATGAATACCAGGTAACTCGAATAATAAGCTTAAAAATGTAAAATAAAAAACAATGTTGCAATCAGCTTTATCCACTTCTTTATTTTAGTAAGTCTAGTTGACAGCTGAGCTGTCAAGTCATGTGGAAATATAATTCTGCTTTGAAAATAGAGTCATAAAAAGAATTAAGTCTAAGTGCTTTCATAGACTACCCTTTCAGTATTCAACCACCGCTACTGTTCTGTAAAGGCCTAGGCGTATTCTGAAACATGGCAAAGGCCTTTCTTCAAAGCTCTTCAAATCTCATATTATTTTGACAATTTTCATCAGAGCGTCCGCCATACAATGGTTGCGAAACCTGCTACAAATTAACAGTTTTACGTAGCATGTTAAAATTCCCTATAATCGATTCATCCCATCCCCTTGTTCGTTAATACGACGAGCGTCATAGTAATCCTTTGCCCTGTAAACTCTTTATTTACATCTCTCTCAATGTTTATCAACAATAATGAATTGTAGGTGTGTGTGACCAATCGTATTTTTCAAATTTCAGGCAACAAACAGTCACTTCATTTTTACAATGTTTACTGCTCTCACATGGCCAGATACAGTATCAACAAACAAGGTTGCCAGAGTCCTTCCCCATATTACAAATTTTGTGAGTATTATCTTTTTCAATGATCTGATTTTTTTCAAACATCTTTTTGAGGCTGACTTTAATATACATCTTAATTTGATTCAATAAGAAATTCGAAAACAAATTTAGCTACTAAAAATGAAATTATCGAGTGTCATAAAATATGTTGTTCTGTAAACATTTTCTATTATTTCTGTCTAAAATTTTGATCATTTTTGAGTACGAATGTCTTTGGATAATTCCCGCCATTTTCAATGGTCTCCCAGATTTCAAAAGAGTCATCCTCAGGATCAAAGATGGATGCTGCAATTATTAATCAACTCTTCCTATGCATTCTCAAGGTAAAAAATTAATTTTGGCTTTGCTCGTGACGTATCCTTTAGAACAGCAGTGCTATATGATCTTTTCTTGTTATGAAGCGATTAATTTGTCTAGCAAAACTATTCTGTGATTTATATGTCTTAAAAATGATTTAGAATCAACTCGCGATTTATTCTTGAGATTGGCCTATATTCGTGAAACGTTATACGTTCAAAGAAATGTACGTTGGAGGTTTATTGAATTCATCGTACATTGCTGAATTCGTTATAACTTTGTTAACGACTTTTTTTGCTGATTTTAAACGATCCACTTTTCCGCTGTGTTTGATATTGCTTGATGACTGGGTTGATCATAACCTATTAATGGCCATGCTAGTTTGATTGTGTTTTGATTGATTTGATTTTCTGTGATTTGATTGATTAGGCTTGACAGGCCTGGTGTCGTTAAAATGTCACACAAATTTGCAATTATATCTTCAGAAAGTATTGAAAATGTGAAATTATTGCAGAAATTCTTCTTTGGGAGAGAGGGGAGCCAGTCGAAAACAGCCCCTTTAGAAACCCAGTCACAGGACTCTTGAAAATTGAGTTGCTCAGGTGTAGGATGTTACACTACGCAGCATAAATATAATTCCACTTGCAATATCGTATTAAAATATCAAGCGAAAGCTGCTTGTACTTTTCTCGATTAGCCTAGATCAATATGCTTCCTATGCAGTATGCTAGCTTATATCATGTCCAAATATTAGGCTTTGTCATTGACAAAGTTCACGGGAAGATGAGTTGTCAGGAAGGATAGACTGAAATATCAAAGAACAAGAAGAAATATCAACTATTATCAAAGCAAATAAATATGGAAAAGTCTGAAAATTTTTGCAATCCCCAGCGAGTATAGAATAAAAATATATTGTAAATTGCACAGAGAAAGTTTTGATGAAAGATGTTTTTAAACGATGTAAATAGCTTTGGGTGTTTACACAGATTTGTGTCATCAGTTGCTGATAGGAAGGTGCGGCCAAAATCGCGGTCGCCATAAACATGTACTTCTAACGGTTCCCAATTTGTCTATAAAGTCCCAGTACAACAGCTGTTCTACATATTGTTTATTCATATACGTATTTTGGCTTGGTATTTACTTTTGATTTTTCGAGATTTCTTGTAAATGGTTTGCCGCACATAGCAATTGTCCTTCGTTTGTTGACATTATGAAGATATTCATAACTATTGAAAAATTAATAGTTTATGATAATGATACAATCCCCTAGTCCTGAAACTGCTTAATCAAATCTTACACTGAGTTGGTTGACACCCCTCTTTTATGGAACCTAGGAATGGGAAATGTGTTTTATGCTTGGTGTAAGGTCTTAAAGGCATTTGACATAAGTACAGCGAATCCATAAATAACTTAGGTCAAATTGATCAGAGCAAGCGCACAAAAAAGGTATTGATAACCGCTCACGTGAAACCACTGCGCGCTGCTCTAGGATTTCACCGATTTGCAGAAAAGCGGAAACTGTTCCGTGTTTTTCTCTGTGTGCAATTTGATTGGTCAACCGCTCGTTGTCGAGTGGCTGTAAGCCTCTTTTCCTCTTGTCAAATGCCTTTAAAAATGCTTTAAAGTGATCGAGAAGCAGTGGCATGCCTCCATCTTCCGGGAAAGAAGATGTCTTGAAGGGCCAGAAAAAAGACCAGTTTTGGACGAGGACATAGATAAAAACAGTTTCCTTCCCGTTATTGCGACCGCCAGGCAATTTTACGTGTTATGCCAACCAACTAACAATTTAACTGGCCAGCATGTAAGACTGACACCCCACTGCCGCCAGATATGTGCTTAGGCTGGGACAATGTCCTTCAATTGTTGCTTTAGATTTGATTTGATTTTCACTACGTTCCATCGTTATTTGCAACTTTGCTGCGAGTAGAATAGACGGAGCTAGGCAGGCTTTGCGTACCCACAAATTTGTACTCAGAGGAATTTAATATACCACCATGTAGTCGCTTTTCTGGCCACGATTTTCGATCTTTGAATATAAGAGAATGTATTTTTTGTGTTACAGGGGTTGCAGATTCATGGTGCAGAATTGTCAGCTCAGGGGTCCCTTTTAACAGCAGCTTTGCACCTGTATCTAAATCTTGTGAGTTCATAATCATGTTTAGAGACATTTTATTTAAAGAATTTTCTACTTGGTCTGAGAAACTTGACTGTTACGCAAGTGAAAGATTTGACTCGCGTATTTGACTCGCGTATCGCTAAAAGAAAAGGATTTGTATGTCTAAGTTGTTCTTTGAATCATTTGTATTTTGCCCAGCCTTGAAGAGTGTCGTTTGGTGTTGACTACATAGAAACTTTTATTTGACATGTCAAACATTTTTATATTTTATTGTTAACCTTAATTGGTTTTATTCATTTTAGACCCCATTTACATAGGAAGCGTTCCAAATTGGACTGGTTATTTAATTGATGGATAACTCTGGCATTTGCAAGAAACCTGTTATAAACGCTTTTCATACTGTTCTGAACTACTTCAGACATTGTTTCCATTCTCATGTATATGTATCCATTTGCGTTACTTTATGAACTGCTAGGAATACTTTAAGACATTTGAAGTTTCATGTGCATTGTCAGTTTCACCCCCCCCCCCCAACCAATCTGCGGTCTGAATTTCTTTCCAGCAACCTGATATGATATTTTTTTAGAGAGTGGCGTACCCATCTATTGTCCAAGTGATGTTAATGGTACCATCTTGCAGAAAAGAACAATTAATGGTATGTTGGATTATATCTTTGGCATATTGTTCATTTATTTTGTGCCTAACCGCACCTTCCTTGGGACCCGCACCCCATAACTCAGGTTGAGTTTTAAAGAAAATACACACATTGGCAGCAATTTGTGTTAATTCTTCCTCTATTTTTTGTCAACACATTGCATTTTACTAGGCTCTAGAGCCTAGGCTGTTTCGGAAGTTCAACAACCTCAGTTTTATTGCCTTTTTATCAGGGCCACCGAGATCCAGGTCAGGCCCAGGGGTGATTCACAAAACTGGACCCCCTTAAGAAAATTTCATGTAGCAACCCCCTTCAGTCTTCCGGAAACTAGGATAATGCCCTTTTTAATAACAGTTGTTGAAAAGCTTTTAAAAATTTTTCAAAAATGTGCAAAACAGTTTATATGAATCAAGAACATGTGGACCTAGTTTCCCTCTGCGATAAACTTAGAGGCGTCGATTCCATATAAATAGCTGAAATAGTAGCTTTTATGCATTTAAAATCGATCTTATTACATTATTACGGGCCTCACTGGAGCATGGGACCCGGGCATTTTGCCCCTCCTAACCCCCTTTTCGACGCCCCTGCTTTTCATATAAGTTAAGATATCCCGCTTAGATGATTGCATTTCTCATATGAATACGATTCAGTTAACCAGTGCAAGTTATTAAAAAACATTCCATTGTATTGGATTTAAAGTTAGCCTATTCGAATTGAGTGGAGGCTCTTTATTTGAACTCTTTGATCAGTTTGTCAGTCCACCTAAGTGGGCTATTAAGCCGGGGGGGGGGAGGGGTCTCCACCACAAGAATTTTCACTGGTGGGGAATTGACAACAAGGGCATTTTTCTTAACGTGACGCAACTGATGGCAAAAACAAAAGCAACGGGACGAGAATGCATATTATGTAAAGCTTCAAAGTCTTGCACATCGGCCGTTACTCCCAGTGGTGTAGTCGTAAATTCTTAGGAAGCATAACGCAAAAGTTAAAAAACAAAAACAGCGTTTCATTGGCGCTTTTCAGATCACATTTTGTGCTTTTTGAGACATCTCTGCATTGAATATTTGACTGTTTGCGTTATACTTCATGCATCTCAAATTATGTAATATATGCAATGTTCTGCAGGAAATGAAGACGAAAGAAGTAGCTTTCATAATTTGACACGTACATAAAATGACAGCGACATAACAAGCAGTAAAGTTTTTAAAACAATTTTCAACAAAAGGACATTTGCTAGTGGGGAATCATGGGCCAACTACTGGGGAAATCTGAGGGCCTGGTGGGGAGATTCCCCACTAGTTTGTATGTTAAAAGATCCCCGGATATGTGTCCAATTCCATAGATCTCTTCTGAGTATTTAATAATGTTCTGATCCCTATGATTAATAATGTCTTGGGAGATATTTCCTTTGATTATTTAAATCATGGCAGGTCACGTTATTGCTATAATACCTGCATCAGTTTATTTAAGAAACGAATATTGTCATTTGCAGAAATTTGACCTAGATGTATTTGAAGCAGAGTGCAAACTCAGCGAAAAGAAGAAGAGAGAATATTTCAGAAAATTTCTTGCGGATGCTTTTGGGGTAAGCATCATTCAGAGTACATATTTTATTAAAGAAATATCCCCACTTTTGTTATATTATTTGAATATCAAGATGTATAATAGAGGGTTGGTACGACTGGCAGAAGATTTGTCATTATTTTTTAAACCTACTCAGTGTGCTTTCAAAAATTTGACTAGCTATAAAGGAAATGAAAGACTATGGTGAAAGAATACAGTGCAAGCTACATCAGAAAAGCAGGCTGGTGGGATATTTTGTTATTATATTCATCAGGAACTGAATATCACCCATTCTGACCTATTTTAATTGCGCTAATGAATTTTGCATTTTCTTTCTGAAATTTCATTTTATTATGATTCAGTCGCACAGACAGATGTTATTTAAGGATGATCCTTTAGCACTGGAGATTCGTCGATACGTCTGTTTTGTGAGACATGGTATTAAAAAAAGTCTTGTCTTAAATCCCTGGCTTGAAAGATATAATATTTGAAAGATATAAGTTATAGTGATAAAGGGAGAAAGAGAACTGACATGTTCAATTGTCAACTATTATTTTGGATATATGTCTACACTTTCTTTCTCGTGTCAGGCAACATTCGATAACGGAAGTGTTGCAAATATTTCTGGCTTTATATACCTGTTCAAATATTCTTACCAGTAAAATCAATAAAAGTCATCAAGAGAAGCTACTTCATTATCGTCTTCATCTTTATTTGATGCTGAAGCATGCATCATCTTTGAGTTGACCATTGGTAAAATTATTTCTGATGCAAAAAAGGTTTTCAACAATGGTATAAAATGCTTGCTAATCGAAAGGCAGATCTACCTTGAGCTTTTCTATATCCTGTGTTTTTGTGAAAGTTTGCGGCAGAACTTGTATTTCATGCGAGTGTTTATCAGAAAAGAAAAATGTAAGCACCTTCAAAATGCCAAATTTGTAACGAAGTTTTTTATAGCTTTGTATGGCTCCTCTCAGCTCGTGGCCTATTAGCAATCTGCCCCCTGCCCCCTCTCGGCGGGCATATCTACACCGGCTAGCTATATTAAAAATTTTTGCTTGAAATGGGCTAGCTTTAAGAATGCTCGAAGCGTATAATACAGTAAAAACCCCGTATAAGTATCTGGATTTTAAGAACCTGTTAGGCTAAAATTTCAAATTTAGGCCTCCTACAAATAAGAACCTTTTCAGGCTAAAATTTCAAGTTAGGCCCTTACCAGTGAAGAGTGGAGCTGCTGTAAAGGTTTCTAGGTGGAAACGGTTGAATAAAGTATCATTATCTGCTTATATCTAAAATTGACTTGGCAAAGCAATGTTACTTTGAAGCCAAAGTACAATACTACAAAACTTACTACTACAAAACTGTAAAACTAGTGTCTATTGTTTACACCATTTCAGTACATTCTCTTGATATTCAGCATTTGTAAAGTACAAAATTTTAATTTTCATTTATTCCAAGTTTTCCACATATAAACCTTGTTTTTTGAATGACATTTTAGAGATTTCGCTGTGGGTTTGTTTGAGTATATGTTTTGTTAAGTCTGTACTGTCTTTAGGTATAATGTAACTGCATGGTGTGAAAATTATGATTTAGCTACATTAAAATATAAGAACCTATTTCAAGAACCTTGTTAGCCTAAATTCACTTTAGGTACCATTTATATAAGAACCTGGTTGGGCTGGATGAAGACCAGGTGTTTTATACGCGGGTTTTTACTGCATGCTTAAGTAGGCGCATCCCATGTTTTCCGATAGGAAGTGGGGCGTGGTCTTTCAAATTTGTTGCTGCACGTTCCTCTCCGCTCCTTCGAAGTTCTTAAGATGAACCCCGATGAATACATAGGTATTAGAAATTCTTGTTTATTGGTAGGTAGTAGGCATTTTAAAGCATTCTATTAGAAACCTAGTAGTTTTATTTATGAGACAGAGAGTTTTAATATGAGACAGAAATATGAGACAAAGTTTTAATATGAGACAGAAATGAGGACAAAAGAAATGTAAGCAAGTGATTATGTGAACACTATTGCCAAGACATTCAAACGCTGTGTGTAAAATGGAGAAAACCTCTTATTTTCCACTCTTCTTTTGTACAAGATAAAACCTGTATAGAAAGTGTATCATACAACTTGTTTAGATGTAAACAAAGAAACTGACTAAGGCCGAATTTGAGCAAAATGCTATTACGAAATGCATGCCCTAGGCCGAACTATGTTTATAAATAAAAAATTGTTTATTTTAACACTTTGACGTGACCTCAGGTTGGTCAACGTCAAACATGTTTTTCTGGCAGTTTTCCACTGTGAGAATATACGTCATCATCGGTTTCTTAACAGTACGAAGTATTGAGTTGGCCTGCCCTACATAAGCTTTTGCAAAAAGCTTGTATTGTTCTGTTTTGGCCTTTCTCGTATTGGTTTAATGCTTTTAGTAATTGTGATTCAGTGTGTATAAATCTGATGTTGTCCTTGGAGTCGTCAGTCCGCAGGAATCGCTGCGTTTAAGTTGATTTTCCCACTGCATGACGCCAATGACATTTATGCTCATAATCCAGCCAATGACCAAGTTCCTTTTCTTTGTATTTTTTTATTGAAATGACTATTATAAACTTTTACTAAAGCAAATTTACTTTAGTCATTTTAACATAACATTGAGTGATGTTCTTATTATTGTCCCCGAAGTCATTTCTCTGCTTGTTTAAAACACTTGGACATTTAAAAACTAGAAGAAGATAAAACATGCTTGTGTCTTGAAATAGAACATGTCTTCTTTTGTGCCACCACTTAACCTATGCGACACCGTCATTTTCTAACTAAGTGCATTCCCTCTTGTTTGAATTAACCTGTGATGTATTCTTGTTGCTTTTTTGCAGAAAAACGTTAGCGAGATACACAATGCAGATATCAAAATCAAAGATTTACAACCATTGGCACCAAGAAAGAAAGCAAAACCAGAGCACGAAGATAACATTGATAGTATCTGTAATTTATTTGGGGAAGATTCTTGACCTTAAATATTAATACCTTTATACTATTCAAATTCGAATTTATCCAGTTTTTTATATTTCTAGATTCAATAAGCTGCAAAATATGCTTGTTTCATTTCACAGCAGAACAACCCTAATTTTTGCCTTAAAGGATATAGAATTATGCTTCTGGTACTAGTGTTCACTTTAAAGTAAGAGAAAATATTGCTTCTTTAAAGTATCTTAATAATGCCGCAAGCAAAAGTATAAATTATATAGGTTGGAGTCATAGGGCCTACATGGACCGCTAGATCAAGAGGAAAGGGAAAATACTTCATTCCACAACAAGCACTTCGTTTGTTTCACACTTGTGAAGCAAGAGCTCAAGCAAGTGAAAAAGACATGTGCAGTCAAAGTCTTTTTGATATAATTTTATAGTTGTCAAGATCGGCTTCAAACGAATGCTATGTCAACGACAATATGCTTTGTGATATGAACGAAGAGAATGCAGAAGAAGTTTTTCTCACATTAGGATAGGTAGACGAAAGCAGCTTCTTGTGAGATGTCCGGACAATTTGGGTGAAAGAAATGTTTAAGTAACAAGAGAGAAAGGCAGTGGTACAAGAATTGGCTCAGGGTGATAAAGAATTTTATTTTGAGTAAGTTGAGTATGTTTCTTTCCTGCAGTTGATATCTTTACCACGAGACGCTGTATTCATTTCATTTCACAGTGCGCACGCTACAGACGGTGTTCACACTACAAAATTTGTTGAGTAAGCATGTTGCAACGGAGAAGCAGACGCAGAAATGAAGGAAATTATAAAATTGTTATATATTCTTCCTTCAACAGGTTATCCATGCTACATGCTTCGTCTTGCTAACGCACGGCTTGCTTTTTTGTTTGCGTCTGTGTCTGCTTTTGCGTCCGCGTCTGCTTTTGCGTCCGCGTCTGCTTTTGCGTCTGCTTTTGTGTCTGCTTCGTGAATAAAATACATGAGCAGTTCGGTTTTAGGTCAACGTGGACAAGCTTTATTTTTCAGATTACTAAATAGAAAGAGAGACTTGTCGTAAGTCTAAGGTCAATCCTATTTCCACAGTACCCTACTTCAATTTTCTATTGATTCTTTTACGATTATCTGTTTAATGCTTTGCTAAAGGCGATAGGACCCCTCTTTGCGGACTCCTAAAAAGCTTTTTGATTTTTGAAAAGTAAGGTATTAACTGTGGACTTTATGAAAAGCAACGAATGAAACTTTTTTCCTTAAAACACCGACCTCGGCAGCCCCTCAGGGATCTGTGCCAGAACCTTTGTACTTAGCATCTTTATTGAAGACTTGTTCTTCATATCGAAACAATTGAAGTTGCAAATGCTCGGATGACCCGCAAGTATTTTGGCCATAAATAAAGATAAAGGTATAATAGTTTGCACACTGATATAGAAACGATTTGCTTACAATATCGTAAAATTATATCGAAGAAAGTATCAATCTGCAATATAGGCAAAGAAAATTAAGGAGAAAATCATGGCGGTAACTAGTAAAAGCAGCTAATCTTCATGCTATATATTTCAGAACTCTGTCAAGAGATTCCATAGAGATATGCAAGATTCTTTAAAAATACACGCAATCGAATAAGAATATCATATACGATTATTAATGATGCCATTATCGTATCGCTGTTTCGCCACCCTTGCCTTGTACAACTGTTTAAACTCGCTGTTCCAGCAAAAGCACCAGTAGCTGATTTCATTTCGTCCGGTTCACAAACAAAACTATTTAAATTCAGTGTCTTGTTTCGATAAACGAAGCGAGGCTCTAGCAATCTATGCCCTCATGTCAACAATTGCACTTTTGAGGCAGACATCACCATTTTCATCAAACTGAAAGCTTGCTATTTTTACTGGCAAGAGTAACTTTATAAATATTTCAATTCTGTAATCAAGCGTTGGTAGCTTCGCACAGCGCTTATGTAAATTTAAGATACTGGGAGGAAATCTCAGAAACCCAGTTAGCTCACTTTGCACATCTGGCAACAGCTCTGTCCACTTGTTTTGAAATGCTAATGAACGGTGAATTGATTAAGATGACAGAGAGCCGCCGCTGGTTAAATTTCTTGATTTGTACCAGTTAATTTGAAACCAGACCGGTTTTGGATAAACTCGTTCCCAGTCTTTCACATGACCTGCATTGCATCGTAAACAGAAGCAACTGGAACTTAAAAACCATCTGGCTGCACGACATCCGCAGGTAATTCCCTTGCCATAGGCTGTCAAAGCGTTTCCAAACATGCAAATGTGGAATGCACGAAATCTCTTTGAAAGGAGATTTCGTAGTTACACTTATTTTTGCTTGCCTAAGATGGCTTTAAAACTCTTCAGAAACCTTAAAAACGTGATTTTGCAACTGTAGATTTTACGAGTGAAGATTATATCCAATAATTTTGCCTTGGTATATTGCTGCATGCAGCAATGGGCTGTAAAAAGAAATTAAAGAAAACCTTTGGCGCCTCGTGTTTTTTTATTTTGTCGCTCGAGAATCAGGTTTCTCGACACAACTGATGCCTAATTTTCTCATCTTAACCCTCTGTTTCAATAAAATCAACTAGAACAAAACCTGTTTACTAGGGAAATGAAGAAAGAAGCAGGATAAACACTAATATGTATACCAACAGTATCAAAAGAAATCTTTAATGATGACAAAAATATCATATCACTGCAAATAAATAGCATAAATATGTTGAAGTTGTAGAAATCAGCTGTTCAAAAGTTAATAAAAATGAATTGATAACAACTGATTTTTTCATAATGTAAAGTAAAACTTTCCAAGTTTGAAATCGAAGCGTTGTTTATTACCGGAGATGTCCTAGATGTCGTGGATTTATATATTTTCCCAGGAATCTAAAAATTGATCAAATTGTTCGATGAGATTTGTAATTTCGGCAATACTGCAATTGCAACGATACGGTACACTGAATAAATCGCCGAATTGGTTAGAACGCCAACTTTTGATGTTGAATATACGGATCAGCATGTAAGGGCGAATTCGCAGCTGTCAAATTTATTAACCACAGTTTCTTAACAAACTTTTAAGAGTGATTGAGGTTGTCATTCTTCCTCGAAAACTTCTAATCGCAGACTAGAAAGATAAACTATTTCGATTTTGCGAACAAATGAAAGTATTCATGCTAACCTGCTTGTGAGCACCCACTCGGGGCAAAGGAGGTGGGTTGGAACGAGGATGCTTTTTACTGCACTTAACTCTTGATGCGACTTGCTGTGGTTGTAATATACGAACGCAGCCATATTGTGTTAGTGCTGCATAATAAATTTAGATTTATAAATTTGTGAACAAATGATGAGTATGGAGGTCTCAGATCAGGAAGAAGAGGAAGTGGAGGAAGTTATGGAGGCAGAAATCGTTAGCCTAACACTCGATCCACCTCCGGCCAACGCTGCTACCGTTTTGCATCAACATCATATCCATCACAGTCACCATGGGCATGGGCCTAATTGCATTGACCATAGCTGCCTTAATAATTCTAGCAAAATTGTGGATAATCCGTCTCTTGCGCTGCAAAGTATGAAGCAGGGGGAAGTTATTGACAGAGAAAGCAGCGAAGCAACGAATAATGGTGGAGCAAATCTTAAGGAGCTTAACGAGCAGAATTCAAATGATGTTTCTTCTTCCCCAAAGTATGTTGATGAGGGAACTAAGTTCACATTACAGCCATCCCCAACAGAACAAGATTCCCAAAAAGTAGTGCCAAGTTTTGAACTCGGGAATGCTACAACACTGTTAGATAACAGTGTAGAACCAATTGCTGGTAAATCTATAAAATCGGAGGTATTACCCAAAAAATCGTCTTTTTCTTGTTTGAAATCCAGGAAATTAGGCACTGGAGACGAACAGAACAAAACTCGCAAAAATGTTTCATTTCCTGCAGATGGGATAATGGTAACTATGAAGGTAGATCCAGTGGATCCGTGGAGAAATGGTAAATGTGAATTAATTTGTTTTTATTATTAATTTGTTGATTAATTTGAATAGCTTGTCATCATCACGATTATGTTTATATGAGATTAATGAATACATTGTCATCGTTTAAACCCATGATTTAACAAATTCTTGCCATAAAACGATGTTCTTTAATTTATCCATACCGCAACTGTCAAGTTAGTGGAATTGATTCTTCAAGCCCAACAAGTTCAATCTGTGTCAAAACCTGGGGACATTGCAATTATATTGGTTATTTTTCTTAGAGTATAAATAGGGATGCTAGAAACAGTCAAAGGTATTTGCAATTTGGTGCATCACTACTATAATGTTTAGACCAAACCTAATTGATAATTAGTCAAATTAAGGATGTGACCATTGTAACAATTATTGTAATGATTTGTGTTAGATTACTATAATTGAAGTCATTACTCCCTATCACAACCAACAAATACATACTCCAAAACCACATAAACCATAATAACAAGCAATTTTTAAAGCTAAATATTTTTGTATTTCCATATTATTGACTTAATTCTCTTTCTAAGTAGTTATTTACTACAAGCCTTTAGAAGTCAGTTTGGTATATAACTTATACACTCATATTCTTTGTGTGTATCCAATTTTTTTGATAATATAATGTTGCAAATGTTTTTGTAAAAATTCAGTCTTTGTGGAAATGCAGGGCAAATATAAATTCAGTTGTTACACCCAATATATTCAGGGCAGTGGCATGCTCTGACAGGACATGAATGGGGAATTGAAGCGTCCCTTCCCTCCACTAGCTTACAGGTCCAGCCTGACCCGACTGGTACCACCTGGCAGGGTTTCCTAGCTCAGGGCTACGAGCGATGGCCAACGGCTAACTCGGCTGGAGACCGGCAAGGAAGGCGGATGAGCTACGACTTCAGGGGTCAACAGCTTCGGGCGGAAGAACTCCTGGAAAGAGGGATGGTGTCCCTTTAAAAATATTGTAGACGTTGTTCTGGGGGCCCATCTCTACTATTAGCCCCTTAGTTTTATCTATGACAATGACAACAAACCAGAATTCAGATTTTGGGATAGTTGGAGGGTCATGGTAGCCAACCTTCTGATAGAAGATGGTACCTGATGATGAATATATTAGCTGGATGTTAAACAAAAGTTTATACTTATGACTCAAATCAGAAAATTTAGAAAAAACTGGTAGTTACTTGTGAAGAGTTACAGTTTCTTAATTTTGTACAGTTTGACCTAAAATAATCAATATATAATTTAGTAACCAGTTATTTCTTCACCTTCATCACTTGGAAAAATCTTATACATTTTTTGCTGCTGCTTGATCAAGAGTATTTTAATTCTGGTCAAAACAACCATTTTTTGAAATTTTTTACGAGACCAAGCACTGTATGTTATTAGAATATTTAGCAATGTACCAAATCTAGTCCACTTGAAAAAAACATATATTGGCTCCAAGTATCTAAAGATTTGCCCTTGAAGATAGTATTGTTTGGATGGATTTCAAATCACATACTTTCTTCTGACATTTAATAGTTTGGTGTTGAGAGGCATCAGAACTGCAAAAAATATTTTCCTTCCTGGGAACCTGGGAAACAGAGCAAAAAATTTACTTTGAGGTGAAAGTATTGTGTACAAGGGGCTTCTAATTTTTTGTCGCTTTATTTGAAGCTTTGTTTGTTAAAAAGGTCCTGGACAAGAAAGCTGAAGGTTGCTTCCAAATTATACAATTTTTGTGATATTTGACAAGTGAGTGATAGTTTTTATAACGGTTTAAAAAATGCAAAATTTCTTTATTTGATGCAATCAATAACCTAGCATTTCTTTATTGGATGTCTGTTGTGAAAGAGTCAAGAAAAAATTGTTGCTATTGCAAAAACAGCTGTTTTTTATTAATTTTTGCTGAAAAATTTCTGGCAAGCCAAAAAAATTTCTGGGAATCTAAGAATCAGGCAATCCAAAAAATTCATTAACATCCATTGCAAGCTTTGTTTTTTTGTTGGTTCTGAAGTCTCTCAAACTTATTGTTGAACAAACCCCAAGAGGCTGTTGCCCTTATTTGATATAAATCTAGCCCACACCATTTACATTTTATATGGAGTTGCCATGATTTTTTTTCATTTCAATCAATTTTGGAAACCTTGATCCAGATTGAGCTCTTTCATATAGTTTTTGTAATCTTTGGTAGCTTTTTTACTTCATAGCCACTTACTTTACATAAAGTTACTTTACATAAGAGATTACAATCGTTGTGATTTTGTATTCATTCAATTTTATCACAGTAAAGCATCAGCTACTTACAGACCTAGTTTTTCTTTTTAGCAAAGGTTGCCACAAGTGCAGAAGTGATATTTGAATACAAAAAGATCTGCAAACAAACAAGAACTAAAGTAGTGGAAAATGTTGTCAGGCAACTGCAGGTATAGAATAATATATTATATACGGATGTATATTTTCATAAAACAGGTAGTATTATATAAAATAGAACATATTCAACCATTAGGCTGAAAAGAAGGTTTTCTCCCTATGGGTGCAATATCTGAATGCATTTACTCCTTCTGGTGGGAAATACACTCAAGGTTTATGTGTCAAAAACTACATATTGATTATTCAACTGAGCCAAACAACTCCATGAAATCAACAAATGATTCATGAAATCAATTTATTAAGATTCCACCATAGCAGTCATTTTTTTCTTGGCCCAATTTATATGCAATAAGTTTTCAACTAAGCAGACTATGACTAGAAGTTGTACCTTGCCTTTTTGACATTGTTGTGAAGGATTAGTTTGGATTAGCTAATGGATAATTTCATTTGGAATAGAGCGCAAAGTGTTAAGAGACAGTTTGCTACAAGCTGTGCGTTTATCAGCCCATTGTAAATCCATGGGAATGACTTAACAGGCTTAAGGAATAAAACTTTCAGTCAGGCCATGGGAGGAGCAAAAAGTAGGCACTTGACAAACTGAGCATCTTCAACTTTCTAGTCGCTCAATTGATAATCATCAATAACAAAAGTTTGTTTTTAACATTCAGTTTTTACACAATCAAGCTCCTAGAACTCTCTAGGTGAATGCGAAGGCCTCTTCTTGAAAGGCCTGTTTTTCAGTTGCTGCATGACAGATCCCATATTAAATGCGGCATATTCTCCTAAAGGATAACTCTTTGAATAATCAAATTAATATCTTGAATATTTTCCCTAATTTGATTCGCTACTAGCAGCTCTTGATACATCATGGCTGTAATCAAAGAATCCACAAACTGAAATCTTTGGCATGGAGAGATCTGTTAAAACTTTAATAGCCATTTAATTTACCAGAGAAACCAGATAACCATATCTATCTTAGTCATAGCTTAAATGAACCCATGTTGTTTGCATGGCTAGCCTAGTCCAGAATAAAGGCCAGATGAATCTGCAAAAAATTCCCAGCTTTAATAGTCTTCCTATCGTAGTTTGCTCTGGAGTGAATCCATAAGTATAGATGAAAAGCTTCTGAATGTTTCCACAACAAAGTAAAAACAACTTGCAGCCAGAGCTTTGTAGAAATCACTAAAGCAATTCCTAATCTTGTCTTGTCTTGGACCTGGCATTGGCTGCTGGGTGCAAAGTCCTGGACAGGTTGCGATGTGCTGGTGGATATGGCCACCTAGAGGGGGGCAAGGGTGCAAATTGCCCCAGGGCCTCGAGGTGTGGGGGCCTCATATTTTAAACTTACCAATTGCACTTGAATTCACTAAAAAAGAACAGAATGTCCTTTGACATTGAACTGAATTTTACTTTTTTTGTCTAGCTCGATTCACTATGCCCATAAAATATTTGTCCTTGATAATTTTTGCAAATAAAAATTTGTAATTAAAATTCAGTATTCTGATGGTCACCTGAAAAATTCAAACTTTGAATATCATAAGAAATCAATCTGTTTTGAACCTTATTTTGGCAAAAGAATAACATTTGTCCTGGTTGTATATTGTCCTGATTGAAAGGATCTCCTTTGTTTCTTCAGTTTCCAAATTAGAAGGTCCAGAAAACATTTCACAGATAGGATAGGATGGCTCTTAAGATCATCCAATCAATCTAGTAATCCTTATTCTTGTAACTGGAAATGTATAGGATTCTATAAATTAGATAATATTTAATAATGTTTTATGTTATCCTAAAGCTGGTGTTAAGGTGTTTCAAAAACCTTGAGATGGGATGTTGATTTGCTATCATTTTGATATATATTTTGCAGGACCTTCCAGACCTGTCTACTAGAATTGCTACTTTGTCACTAAAAGGTAGGCTGTTGGTGTATTTATAGAAATGTTGTTAATATACAACTGCCTGGCGAAATATACTTCCTACTTTTTCCTACTTTTTGTTCAAAGTGATTTTCTCTACAAAAATATTGGTGTTGAATGCTCATGTTAAGCTGTACATGTTTTGGGACTACCTAGCTTCTGAAGGTAGATTTTAGAACACCTATAAGCTATGTTTACAGAGCAGTATCCTGGTCTATCCTCTCAATGTGGCCACCCCTCATGGTTCCTATGCCCGGAATTCCAGAGAGCTGACAGCTCTTCCCTTTTGAATGAAATTTTGGCAAAGCAATCAATCCTCAGAAACCTAGATATGTAGCCTGTGACCCTAACCCCCGTACCATCCTCATACATCAAGATGTTTTTGGCCTAATAGTATCTAATTTGGTTATCTGGCTTGGAATTACTTGATACTGTTCATCTTCATTTATTCAAGTCCGAAATAAAGGAGACACTGTTTCAATATACACCTTCTAAAAAGAGAAAATTTTCAGGGAAAAGAGGCAGTAATTTTGATAGTGGCAAGAACCAACGCTTTGCAGGATGGCATTGCATTTGTCAGTATATTTATTTTCTAGGTGTGAAGCTAGACAGTAAATCATGTGAGGCCCTAGAAGCTGTCTTCAAGAGAGTTAGATTTGAAGTAATTGATTTTGAAAACTGTGGCCTAGAAGAGGAGGTAAGGAAGAAGATTTTTTCTATCCATCAGGGGTTTTTTCTATTCAGGAAAAAGAGTGGTATTATGATCAAATTTGAGGTATAATTCCATCGGCCTTGCCCTTTGCCAATTTTTCTCCCTACCCCACTTGTACTTAGAATTTATCTAGAAATAAAATCCCAGACTGTGATCGAAAAATATTCTTCTTTAATGTAACAAAGGGTTTTGATTTTTTGCCATACTAATATCACAATTACTTGGAGAAGTGGTCCTTTTAAAAATTTTCGGATAATGACCTATAAATGAAACAAATTTACATTCATGTGGGGATTAAAGCTAACTATCTTCTTTAACCACTTGGCTACTGATAACCATCAAAAAGCTCCAAATTCCAGGATAGAAAACAATATCTTTCCGTATCTACAATATTGGGTTTTAGCACCTCTGACTTTGCTTATCAAGGAGTGTCAAAATTTATATGAAATTCTAAGGGGGTATACTTTCCAATTCTCTCCCTTATTTTCCTTGATATCTCCAAGAAATATCTTGCTCTTTTTACATTTGATACTGTTATATGTTGTCTTTCCTCTTAAGTTTTGATTATTTTACCCATTGGGGTCAGAAAATTGGTAAAGTTATTATTTATTTCAGGGTGCAACAGCTCTTTTAGAGATGATCGAATTTTACCAAAGTGCGTGCAAACTTAGCGTTGCTATGAACCCGAAAATGGGGGCACGTGGCTGGCAGACACTGTGTCGAATGCTTCGCAAAACGCCATGTTTACATTCATTAGACGCACGGCGCACCATGCTGACTGATCAAACGATGCCAATGTTTGGAAGATGCCTCAAAATGGATCCGCATTTGAGAACATTACATCTGGAAGGAGTGTTTTTAAGTGGAAGACCTCTACTTATTCTGAGTGAGTTTTGAGTTAAAATAGCTTCATTAATGAGCTGACATTTTATCACGAAACGTTTATGTGCATCCCTGCAGCGGCTTTTAAGTCTGGACTGTTTTATCTGTATGTGAAACACCAACACTAATAATGAGAGTCATATCTCGATTGGTTGGCAAAGGGACCTAACCGACCAGAATTCTAATCCATGTAAACAATAATAAGCTGGGCTTTATACAACAAATTTTTTGCAATTATGTTCTAAACCTTTTAAGGTAGAGAAGTAAAGGATTTTGTTGTTACATATGGCACAAAGGTTTATTAGCTTTCTTTCTTCAAATGCCAAATAACTAGGGACAGATTTTCTTGCTCTTAACATAATTTCTCGATGCTTGTGAAGCAATTCTGTTTTGTTTATTGGAAGTTTTGTTTTTAATTAAGTAACAGGCGTTTTCTACGTCGTTGAGCCGGACAGTTTCTCGAGCCACCAAACCCCCAAGACGCCTAACTAAGCCAATCCCCACTCAACTAATTCCTGCTCCTTATGTTTCGTACGTGAATGCTGTCAAAGGCAGATGTTTTGTGGGATTTTCGATTTTAAGATTTACGCATCTTTTTTATATGGATCTGACTCAACTTTATCTAGAATGACTATGACTAAAAGTCCTGTTTCGTTTTCAAGACGAGAATCGTGAATAACATTTTATGTTTACCATCGAAATAAAACCAGCCTTTACGACTGCTACACTGATTTTGATTTCTGAAATTATTAGAGATTATTTTATACGATTTAGATATATTTTGAGGTCATTCGTTTAATCCATAAATGCAATTATGTAATTACTATTGGCTAATTCAAGGAAAAGATTCATTGCCTAATGCGAAGACACAACCTTCTTGCTAATTGCTTACTGAAGTTCTATTTTTGGTCGCCTTTTACAGTATTATACATTCACCACCAACAATTCCTCTCATCCTTTTCTTCTGATAATTCAATTTGATTAACTTTCTCTTTTCTCACATGCTATGTGGATTTCCACTCAGATTTTTTCTCATCTCCCTTTTCAGTGCGCTTAGTAAGATATTAGGAAAGCCTTTGTTCATTATCTTTAAGTATAACAACTGTTTTCATTGCTTTATAGTGACCCTTAGGTTCACGAAACTTTAAACCAAACTGTCTTTGTGTTCTATATAGCGAGTCAAAGAGTTTTTTAAGGAACCAGCAGTTACCTGTAGCAACCAAACAGACTTTCAAAGATTTGTTATCATTAAGTTTTTCAATCAACGAAGACTGTGAAAACTGAACCAATTGTAATGCCATATGTAATTTGAAAATATCCAAAGAATAACAAATTCGTGAGTTTATAGATTTCGTTCTGCTTTTGCCAGCTCTACGTTTTATGTCACTAAAGCTGTTTCCTAAAGCACAGTTTTTCACCGTACCTTAAGTTACTGATTTGATTATTCCTGCAAACGATCGTCAACAAATTCTTACAATATTGCAATTTTTAAAGTTTGCTTTGCTCTTTACAGACTTCTTAAAGCTAGGCTTTTCCTCACGGAAAATCTATTGCGCTGAACGTCAGAATAAATATATCTGCTATTATTGTCGCATCATCTATGCATGAATTTGTTTAAATAAGTAGTTTATTGTGTATATCTACTTTTACAGCAACTGCACTGAAATACAACACGTTTTTAGAAGACCTATATCTGGGAGACAACGACCTGCAATCGGCAGATGGTGTTTCGATCGGAACAATGCTGAGTGCAAACAAAACACTCCAGCTACTCGACTTAAGAAATAACAGTTTCAGGGTGAGTGTTATCTGTTTGCTTATTAAATCTTATCTGATTCATTCAAAATTCAGATTTATGCAATCGAATAAATTGTTTCTTTTATAAGGTCAAATGTTCAAAGGAATAAAGCAATATACGATTGTTATGTAATATATAATGTTTGTAACCCGCTATCTTTTTATTTCTATTACCAGCTTCCAGATTCTGTCTTTAGCTAGCAATTTCTGAAAGAAAAAAGTGCGTCTTTGCCAGAAGTTTTCATTGACTCGACTTTAATTGAAAAATCTTTACAACTTTTGCGATTTCAGATGCTATAAAGCCTTTAAAACGGGTAGAGCTTGATAGAGCTACACATCTAATTTTGTAAAGCGGCTTCTTTTTAGAAACCTCGAAAGAACCGGTTTTAGGTAATGTTTACTTTCCTTGCCACAGCCAGGAAAACATGATGGCCATACGGTAACTGACCGCAAAGGCCCGTGGAAGCAATAGAAGTTTTAGTACCATACTCAAACCTCACTTTATGTTCTTTGTTTTTTGAGTAAGATTTTCAAAGTTTGAGAGACTTGCCAAGAGGAAAGACGAAAAACGTTTTTTGTCGCTGCCCTTTCATTTTTTCTATCATTTCCAGATCCAGTACTAGTCATTAGGAAGATTTATAGAAAAGAGACTTTCTTCTTTGCTTTACATTGTTTGGATTCTATCAATAACTTTTCATACGGCCTCGAATCGCTAGTTTTTCCGTCCATACTAGATCAGACGTGGTCCATCAAGACTCGTCTCACTAGGACGTTAACAGGGCGCTATTCAAACCTTTTCAGCTTTGGTTTTTAACGTCTAGCCTCATTTTCTAATTGTTACCATATCTCTTGTCATATTTTATTTATAAGTTTATAAGTCGGTTATTAGATTTCAACTGCTCCTTAACTTCATGAACTCTTTATGAACTTTTAATGAATCATTTAATTAGGTTGATGTTATTTTTTCAATCAGTTTTCGATATTCCTGCATCCGGCATATACCCTTTATTTTGTGACACCTGCTTTTCATCTAAGGATGCTGGTTTGGTACACATCGCAAATGGGTTAACAGACCAGGCCAACTTCGATTCTGGAGGATTGGCCTCCATTGTTCTTTGGAACTTAGGACTAACACACGAAGCAATGTTTGGGTTTTGTAATGCTTTGGTAGGTTTTTCGTTTTCTATGTCTTTGAATTTTACTTTTTACGTTTTACTTGTGAGGAAATATGTTTTTGATTTTGTGTCGAAAAAATTCTTTCTTTATTCGGTGAATTGTTTTCTTCCTTTTCGTGTATTTTGAATTTGTTGTCCAGAGGAACGTTTGTACGATGTTATGAACTCTGCATCTCCTTACATTTTCCCGTAACAATGATAGTTGCATGATTATAACGGAGGGACCCTTCACCACGAGAAATTTATAGTTTTAATATCAACTTGCAAAAAAATATAAAAATAGTATTTTATCCATCTATAAGAACTCACGTTGTGGTTGCGCAATGTTTTATATAAATAAGGAAAATTAGCTGAAATCATCTCAAGCCTGCATTTTTGCCCGTGAGTATAAGGAAAGCTGCTGCTTTTTTCACACTTTTTCCAGTTCCCCTAAAATGTCGTCCTTTTGCATGGCCTTGTTTGTTTGTTTTAATTTGTAAAACGCAGCGAAGCAGTGGCTTATTTTTTGAATTCTTCAGTGTCAATATATTTAAACCCCGAACGTACAACTATTGTATGATCATACTGTGAATCTGTGACTTATTTTTCAGGCGAAATCGAAAAGTCTCAGGTCATTGAATCTAGGCCAAAATCGACTTAGTGACCTAGGGATACAGAAAATCAAACCTGGTCTCATTAGAAATAGATCGTTACGTAAACTTGGCTTGCTGAATACTAGAATCAGCAATGAAGGTAAGCTAAAATTGGCAATATGACAAAAGTATACGAAGGTAAGCTATAATAGTCTTTATGACAAACGGTTTCGATACACATTGAATATTTGTTGTTCAACCTACTGCAAAGGATTTTTGAGCGTGCAATCCTTGACATGCCAAATTAAACAAATGGCCGAACATTTGCTAGCTAGCATAAATATACAGCAGGGACGGATTTACTGGGGGGTGTAGGGGGTACGATACCACCAAACCTTTTTTGGTCTTCGGCGAATTTTGCTTCCATTCCATAAAAGTCATAATGTTAAATAAAACTAAAATGTTTCTTTTTTATATTTTGACCTTCGTTATCTTAAAAGAAAAAACCCAATTTTAGATATAGGCGTTTCCATCTATTACAATTCACCTGAATGTCAAAGGATCTCAAAAAATATTGCAAAGGTCTGTGAGCAATCTGTTCAAGAGACTTTAAACCTGCAGGATCGAAATGTTTACCTCTACTTGCCAAGGACCTCTTAACTAAAAGCAAGTGACTAGTATCATTTTAGTGGATAGCCTCGTGTAGAATGAACTGACCTATACTTGGTTTTCGTAGATTATTCTAAAACACATTACATCCTTTACAAGCCAACCCACATGCACAATATCAAGTGGCTTTAGGGGTCTCTCAGACTTTTGACAATGATCTTAACCACTGGTAGGTCAGCAGTAGTAAGGTAGGGAGATATTTTCAATGTTGCCTAACGATCATTGCTTCAGGTTCTGGTATTCAAACGACTGTCTTTGTTTGTTTTCCAAACGTCACAGCCATCTACTTCTCTGTCAGGTGCTGTTGCATTGGCTGAAATTCTTGCTGACAGCATTTCATTGTCAAGAATAGATGTTAGAGAAAACAACATTCAGATTGCTGGGCTGATGGCAGTATCTTTAGCATTGAAAGTCAATCATTCCCTGATTAGAATCGATCTGGATAAAGAGCTGAAAAAGGAGCCAGTAAGTAATACTATGCTTGACAGTTTAAGTTTATAGAAACACTTGATGTGATGCTTAAAAATTTGTTAAAATGTTCGAAATTTCTGAATTTTAAACATTTTGTAAGTAGTCTGGCTTTACAATTGCCATGCTTCGAGGGGTTGTTGTTTGTTGTTAGCCAATCAACCTACAAGTAGTTTGATTTAAACCAATTTAATCTTTGGATAGCTGAGTTGATATTACAGGTCAGCAGTTTAAACGATTGGGCATGATACTCCAATGGCTATGGACACATTGACTGCAACGATCGGTTGTTATCTTTTTGCTTACATGACAAGAGACTTTTTTGCACCAAAATATTCATCAAATCTTGCCAACTTAATTTGCTGTAAGGAATTAAGTTTTATTAGATGTTTTGCGTGTCTTTTGCTAAATAATACAAAAGATGCCTGGTTCAGTCGTGATGCGTGAAATTAGCATAGTAAATGATGCAAAATTTGATTGAGACTTTTACAGTTTTCTGCTTGCAGGGTCTTCACTTCTATATCCATAAACAACTCTTATTCCTGTTTATTTCATTCGTTTTTTTCTTCAACAATAGGGCCTAGAAACGGTACAGCAGTCCGTTTTGGCGGATATTTATAACTTTTGTCATCGAAACAAGCAACTTGCTCGCGAAACAATATCTCGGGAGAGTTCAACTAGCGAGGACAGCGAATCTCTTGTGAGTCAAGAATTCAGCGAAAAGGAATCAGACGATGAACGTAGCGATAATTTGGATGATTTTTCAAGGAATCAACAGATTTTATCAACATTACAAACGCTTGCATCCAAAGAGAGACAAAAACAAGATGATCCACCAAGCCACGCCACTGTGGCCCCAAACCACGCCACTGTGGCCCCAAGCCACGCCACTGTGGCCCCAAGCACTATCTACAAACCAACCTTAGCCGATGCCCACAAGAATTCAGTTACCCCGAAGCCTAGGTTTACCATAACGAGGTTAGTAGAAACTATAGGGAATGCATCTGCTGGTGTCGCCAATAAAATTGCAAGTGTAAGAAGTGACCATTCAGCTAAAAGCCCCCAAAACCAGGATACTAAACCCCCTGAGAGCAAAGATCCCAGTCATCTGGCCAATGACGGTCGAAAGGATTCCCCGTGGAAAAACCTGCAGCGTCAGACTGGCATCGATGCTGCTGAGGGTTTGCAAAATGACGAAGAAGCAACACCAACAGTTGACTTCAGCAATACAGATAGAGATTTGGGAGAATTGTATCGCAGACTTCAAGACGGAAAGGTTGATATTATACAAGACCAATTTACCGAAAATTCACGAGCAATAATTGAAAATAAAGTCGATAATCACATAGAGAAGATGCAGTTTCCTGGCAAAGCCAAAAAACTTAATGACGTCATTAGAGATAAAAGAACTGAAGTCGATGGATCTTCCTTAGATGACAAAAGCACAACAAATGATTTAACTGGAATTGAAACAACCGGGAATTTTTCTGGAAATACCAATGGCCAAGTAGGTATAGAGTAAACTGATTGTGTAAGTAGTATTTTACAAAATTGTTTTTCTTCGCAAAATGATTTATTTACCCTGTTCAAATTCTTATTGATTCGATGAATGACCGGCGTACACCAGTGAAATTTTAGGATATTAATGGATTCAGGTATTTGTTGCAAGTTCCGAATATGCTAAGAAAGAGGAATTTTGTTTCCCGTAAGTCAGTTACGTTAGGAAATTTAAATGATGCAGACGGAGAGTTGAAACCGAAGATGATTTTAATCCATTATAAGTTTCGTTTCGTTATGATCAAAAAAAACTTTAAAGAAATGCTATTAGTGGTTGATCTTTTGCATCTCCCCATATGTTTTTAACCCTATGTAGACAGCTAATTTGAGACACAGCCAAGATTTAGACGACCTGGAAAAAACTTTGATGGTTTGTGTACACAAGCTCTTACTTCTATCTTCAGAGATATTTAGCTCTTTAACATTTTCATGATTTTTTAGCTCTGAAATAAAAAGCCAAATGTCCTCAGTGGCTTTGGCTACCCTCTATGTTATTTGTTTCTGGGACATTACTTGACAAGTGAAAGCAAAATATTATGATATATCCCTTCTACGTAATTTTTTCTCAATCCATGTTTTACTCGCACTAATTGTTGTGTAATTGTAGAGTCGTAAATGGACTAAAAAACGAATGTTAGTATTTGCTACTGATCGATTCTTTGTATGTAAATTGGCAAATTTTCTCATGTCAAGTAGAACCAGATAATGTCAAGGTACTTTGATGTGTTTAATATCAGACATGTATTGTCATTCACCTATTTGGTATTGCATGAAAGGCATAGTCAAGATTACCTTCTCATGATTACCTTCTCATGACAATAGTAAGTCCGTACAAAGCAACGCATCACAAAGCTGTATCTTCAAACTTCACTTAGGGAAAACAATGACTGGACTGCAAATTTATTCATGAAAGATTACAACTACGAAGTTAAAACTTCACAAAATAAAAAACCTCAGCAAAAAGTCGCTGAGATTTCATAATATTTACCTTAGTGAACTTCCCTTCCCCCTCTTTTTATTTTTATTATCGGGGTAAAAGTGATAGGTTCGTGAAGGTATTTTCAGGTGCAATTCTTTCGTTGCAACCAAGGTTGATTTTTATGGGCATTTCAGCATTTATTTCACGATTAAACGCCCGAAGATCCAATATAACTCATGCCAAAGAATATGGGTTTCGATAAATTGCGTAGACATTAAAATGATTAATTCATTATCGTCAGAAATGGGTTGTCGGAGATTCCTGTATACCATTGAAATATAAGAAAATGAGTGAAGTCGAACATATCTTAATTTTATATTTTACTGTATATAATTTTTCATTTCTTGAATCGCTTGAAAGGCGAATAGACAGGGGCTTTAAAAACAAGGATGTTAGATTGAATTGTTCCCAAAAGATCGATTTATAGCACTCTCAACGTCTATTTTAATTTTTTATACTCTGTCAGTTTTTGTTGCACTTTCCCTTTAAACTTCTTTAACCTCTCATTCCTTGGTGCTTCTTCTAACTGGATGTAATTCTAGCATCGGGACAACACATCTAGCAAATAGGCCGTGACTCTCCCTTGCGTAAAATAATTTTTTAAATCGATCCTTTTGACTCTAAACATAGCTTTTATTGTTTCAGTAACATGATGGGTAACATTAGTAATATTGCTTAACTCAAGATTTTGTACATATTTAAGTAGATTTTCGTTTCATATTGATGATGATCGCAGGATGTTGCCAGCTGTTTGTCTTTTTTCTGTCATTTTTCTTTGGCATTTGACTAAAATAATGTTATAAAACCAGACGACGATTCCTTCATTGGCATAATCATCAACTGTGGATTTAGTTTTCAAGATTACCTTTACCTTAGGTGGTGGAAGCTATCATATTTTAACTGCGTTTCAAAAAAAGTACATAGAAATAAGCTGCTGCAAGACTACATAGCATGATTACAGCCAAAGGGGGGGGGGGAGAAAAAATAAAATTCTTAGGAAATTGATTTCTCGGCCCCTATTGAAGATATCAAACTAATTCGGAGCACAAACTTTCATTGCCATTAAAAGCAGTTTTAAAATTCTTCTTTAAAAATTAGAGTTCAAGAAAATCAATTGGGTTCAGCGTTTTGTGTACTAACACTTGATAACCTATGCTTCGTTTCGTTCAATAAAGGGCGGGTTGTTTAATACGGATACACTTCTATACAAATTTCTAAACGCAATGTCCAGTGTCAATATTCTTAAGAAATTTTCGTATTGTCCTTTAATAAATTTATAAAGAATTATTCCTTTTTTCAAATCTTATATGGTTTCAGGGGATATGGAATATTTTTCAATATTCTGATCTTCAAAAAGCTTCCTCGAATAGAAATCACACTTTTTGAAAATATGAGTCATGCGATTCTCTGCTACGAACATGACAAAGCAGGCAACTACTGAACAAATACGCAAGCTGACGCTGAGCTTATAATATTCTTTAAAACTGGATGATTTTGATCCTGAATATCCTTATAAAGAATATTCTAATAGCAAAGAGTGAAAGTATTTCTAATAAATTAATGAAAATTTTTCAGTTCATAGTACCTTTTAAACATGCAAGAGAAAACATTACACATACTCCTATTGTGTTCGATATCTTGCCTTGTGCTGGTTACCTGTTTCTTGACTTTGTTTACTTTTTTATAAACATATTCCTGGCTTGTTCTCGCGCATTCTGTTTGCGGAAGATTTGGATCCGTGGAAACTCATCTCCGCGACGGCAAATTGCTATGAAATGTCATGATTCTAGGGATGTTGGACGTCATACCTTTCGGAAGTACAGATTCTGGAAAGCAAAACTTTTGGAAAAATGACAAATTTTCTTCCAGGTAGTTTTAGGTTTTAGAATCATACTTTAATGATAAAATTCCTACAAGGGTCCTACAAGTTTAAGATTTTGATAAGGGAGATTTCCTATCAAGTAAGAAGTCATAATCATCATAAGGAGCAAGGAGTTTTGCTATCAAAACTACACAGCTATAGGTGCGGTAACTCTTTTTTAATGAAGATTTCTTAACTAACATAGCTCTCTGGCCTCTATGGTTAGCGATAAGCTAGCCACTAATATTGTTTGATCAGTTCAATTCATTTCATTTTTAAATTTGCTGTTTATCCAGTGCCGTCGGAACGAAATTCATATTTGGGGGCTGCCCATTGTTTTCCTTCTCATTCAGTACACTGCTATAAAGGAAACATACTACAGTTTGACAATTATTGGGGGGCTCCAGCCCCCCAGCCCCCGGTTCCGACGGGCCTGTTATCACTTTTCTTAAAATTTGCTTTTCATCAGCTTTTTAAAAAATCTTGGAGATTTCAATACATCCTTTTGCTATATGACACACAAATCTTGACTTTCACACTCAACTTGAAACAAATATGGCGGAGGCGGACGAGGATGCTGCGAATGACAAATTGACCTCCCATCAATCCTGTGTAGCAGAGGAGGTCAATAAAATCGATGATGAAGGTAAAACGAAAGTTTTCGGAACAAATGCTGACGAAGATGGCGATGTATCTGATATAAGTGAAGAGGAAAGGGATTCAGTGTCATCAGACCCGCAGAAAATCCGGCCTAAAAAGAAAGTAAAGAAGAAGAGAAGATCGAAGTCTTTCAATAGCAACGACGAAGAAACATCAAGCTCGGATGAAGATGTCCATAGCATAGTGGCAAATAGTAAAAACAGAATAGGAGATATAAGCCTGGTACACAGATATTTTATGTTCATTTTAACAAGTTTCGTTTAAACGACTAGGAAATAATTTTCTAAAGCTACACACCTTCAGAATTGCGGCAGATTTACTCAATGCCTTGATAAGCAGGCGTTGATAATTTTGATTAGTGTTGATTCCATTTTTTGAATTTTACTTTGTGTATAATCTCATTTTATTTACAAGAAAATTCTATCAAGCACAAGGTCAAGAAAAAATTGCACAAGGACGATGCTCAAGGTCGTTGTCATATACCTAATTATATATTTAATTGAATCACCTCACCTCAACACCTTGCTCAAATTTTTTTATTTTTACTGCAATTATTGTTTCAAATACTAATTTTGCTAAGGAACAAGCCTGTACATTAATATTTATCATTAGAAATTAACTTGCTTTGACAGTGTTTGAAAGTTTGAAGGTATTCTGGAGAGCAACATGGACAAGGTTGTTCCTTGCTTGAAGAACTTTAATTATTCAAAACAGTTTAGCTATCCTTTGATTATGTTCAAAACAGTTTAGCTTAAGTTTGCTATTATTTTGATCATGAGTTTTATTTTGAATTTTTAGAACCTAAATTTAAGTGAAATTATTACACATTAGATATTATTGTAACTTTTCTTTTCTCTGCCAACTTGATAGTTGATTGGTAGAACATCCTTTATATTTGCTCTATTGACAAATTTAAAATCAAATTTTTCAAGTTTTTCAAGTCAAATTTGACAACTAAAAGGGGGAATGTAGTTGAAGCTTGATTTGAGTAATGCACAGTTAATCATCAGGTAATGTATATTATCTATTTTAATTTCTAGAAAGATTTAACTTGGACAATGTGGCTTTGGTACTATGTTGTGGCAGTATCATCAGGAGCTTTCCACTGTAAGCACAATTAATTTTGAGGGATTTTTATGAAGCACACAAACAGGGGCGGACACTTGGTCAAATATTGGGGGGGGGCAAGCCTATTGTTTTTAATAAGATGACGTCACATTTCCCATTGTTTTAGAACAAAAGACCATTGTTCTCTAAAGTATTGGGGGGCGATCACCCCCCTCGCCCCCCCAAGTGTCTGCCACTGCACACAAATAAACAGAAGATGGTCATTGAGTTCTAAATTTTTTTTCTTCGAAGCCTCAATCAAGTCTTTTTTTCTTCAAAGTCAAGAAAGTCTTCACAAACTTTCTTGCCACAGATATTTTCAATGTTTGAATTCGGAGAGCTAATTTATTCTGTTAACTGGAGCTAATCCGCATTTCTTCTCTTGATGTAAAAATTGCTGATATGTACTTTTTTATTTGTAATTAACTGATAAATTTTTGTTAGTGTTTTAGGATATGATAATTCTAAAGTTTATATCATAATTTATTTGTTAAAATATTCTGACTCCATAGGTCAGCTATGGCTCATGTTGGATTTAATAGTATATAACAATATGTATATGAAAATTTCTGTTTACCAGTTATAAAGCACTTGATGCTATGTAGGCAGAGGTGTATGCAGTTTTAATGAATAGTTTAGGACCGGTCTAAGTTGCTAGGCTGAGATTTGCACTTAATGCAATCATCTGAAGCTAGGTCTGATACAAAATGCGATTGTTTACAGGGAACTATTTATGTCATATTTTTGAACAAATTGTTGATTTTATTTTTTTGATAGTTGCAGAGTATCTTGGGGAAAAGCTTGCAGACTTTTTTGGCATTACATCTCCAAAGTATCAGTATGTCATAGATGAATATTATCGTATGAAGAGAGAGGTATATTATGCTATTTTATTTTTTTCTCAAATCTGGTACTAGAAATAGATATAATTATATTTAAAGTTGCTCATTTTTACATTTTTACTCATGTTTTTGCTCCTAATTTTAGGAAGAGGAGGAGAGGAAGGCAGTTGAAAAAGAAGAGGAATTTGTACAAAAGAAAAAGCTTGAGAAACTCTCACAGCTTGAAGTAGGTGCAGATGATTTAAATCCAACTGAAGACCCTCTACAGAAGCTATGAGTCTGGCAGTTATGAACAAGTAAACATGTTCCATAGATGTACCCGTCCTCTAGTGTAATGCT